TTTTAGAATTAAAGTATTAACAAAACAAGATAGGCTCTAATAAAATTTCAGTCGAATCTAGCTGATTTAAAATGAGCTCTGTTGACTTGCCTGCAGCGTATTGATTTACATTTGCCCTTTTTCTGAATAAAACCAATAAACGTACAGGAGTTCCCTAAATGATCTCTTTGAGGTTAAATAGAACAATGTTAGTAAACCAGGGAGGAATACCAGCATACAAAAGGAAGGCCACAGCTGTGTTAGGACTCATCATCCAATGTATTGGCTATTTATTTTAAACATTTATCAGTGTTTGGGGATAATACATTCTTTCCAGCTGAGGTTCTTTGGATGCACACCATGTCATACAAAGTACAGTGCCCAGGAAGACTAAATTACCTGCTGACCCATTGGAACAGCCCATGGTACTATAAGCATAGCAGATACTAAACCAATGCATTAAACTTTAGAGCCCAGATTTGCTTTCTGGCTGGTTTAAAACTCTTACAGCAACTGAAGGCAAAATGGAGAACAAGATCTGAACAATTGAAAGCATAACCCAGAGCTCTGACAAGTATATTGTCAGAGTTATCTGAAGCAGTTGAAGAGACTGAGATTATCTGTGGTTCTCATGATGAGGGCAATTATCTGTGGCAGAGAAATATCCCCCATGGCTGGCAGCAACGATGTGTTAAACTGCTTCCTTCCCCAGTCCCATAAAGATCTTGACTCAGCTTTGTGGGGTTGAACCAGTGGCAACAACAAAGCAGCAGCTAATGACTTGTTTTCTGTGAAGTCAAGGTCAAAATTCAGTTTCCATGAAGCCAAAAATTGACCTTTTAGTTATAGTGATCATCATTTATAGAGCTCTGCTGTCCCGTTGAAGAAAATAACCACACCAGTTCTTTGAACACTAACATGGAAAGAAACCTGCAAAGTAAGCCTGGAGGTGGAAGCATACTTCAGTAGCTGCACTGGGGGTGGTGAATAAACATCCATGGCCTTCAATGCCTTCAGACAACAGACGGCTACCCCTCTGATATTTTTGGAAAAATAATGATTCAGATTCTATTCAATGTCATGTTTATGTAGCTGAGAATGATCAGGTGTTATATTAGAGCTGGGCAGTAAGTTTTGTTCACAGTTGTCTCATGTACTGATAATTGCAGCAAGTTCCAATCACCAGCAGTGTCAGAAGTACTTTATAGGTCTTCAGTGTTATTTGGTCAGCTCTCTAAATCCCACCCTCTGTGATCATTATCTTCAAGAGTCTCTTGTCTCCTCGTTTATATTTTTACTCATCAGTGCTGCTTACAAGTACCTAATCATGCCACATCCTGCCTGCAGTCACCTTACCCCTAAAGCAAATAGCTCTGTACTCACACACCACCTCAAACTGCAATCAAACAAATGAATTAAACATTGCAGCATCAGCCAACAAAGTGGCAAAATGTACACAATTCATCCTTGGGAAAAGTGGTTTCTGTGCTGGAGCACAATGCACAACTATCTTTACATAGTTTAAAACCTGATTTTATATTCCTGAGATATATAAGAGAACAAACTGGAATCTGCCCTCTAAACCACCTGAATAATTCTGGATTTTAGACTGAGCAGTGATACAAGCAGATGATCAGCTATAACTGTCAAAGACCATGTCTCCAACTTGATGTGCTATGACAGACACAAACAAATTGTAGACATGTGTATGCATTTCCCACACCTTGTATTAAAAAAAACCTGAACAACTTGCCTCTGTTGAGACCACGATGGATTCACTGACCATTGCAAGCAGCCTGGGATTGCATTTGTTACTGCGCCAATAGACCTGGTAAGTCAGTTCCTGTTCACCTCTACATGAGATGCCACCTTCAGTTTGACACATAGGTATAGCTCCATATAGCTGAAAGCAGTGTTGCATATGCAGTATCATTATTATAATAATACCACAGACCAAAATAAAAAACATGCCGTGATTTCACAAAAAAAAAAATAGTTTTAGTGTTTTATAGTCCAAGTGTATGAAATGCTGAATATCACCAGAGGATACATTAAAAAGTAAGACACCTGTTCTGTTGTGAAGCATTCACATTAGAACTAATGGAACATGTATCTTGACAGTATTATTAAATATGTCTTGAAATAAAAAAAAGCTAGCTTGAAAATCCAGTTAGGTCTAAATAACCCATTTAGTAAATACACTTCCCCCCTCTTGCAAATAAATTAATTGGAGGGCTTGCTTTTTTTTACTGTAGGTTTGCTTTCATTGGGAAAAAATGCTTTTTAACTCTAGATCCTTGTTCCCAAAGGGGTTGATATTCACAGCTAATTTACTTCATGATCAATGGGAAGTGCCTGTTCACCATCTTTTTAACATGAGATAGTTCATGATCACTGCTTCCCCAGGAACGTAGAAAAGATGACACTGTTTAGCAGTGAATATAGGTCCTGAACTATCAGAGCATCCGCTTTGGAGGAGTGATGGTAGTATTGTCACCTCGGGAGAAGGGGGATCAGGGGAGAGATTTATAAAGCTGTGGAGCCAGCTGGAATACAGAGGCCAGGTCTTGCCTGATGCTGCCTTTCGCTTCTGGTTGTTTCAGTTTTCTCTCTACTCAAGGATCAGGAATGGTTTTCCTCTATGTTGCAAACTCGCTGGGTAAATGAATCTATTGGACTGTTTTGTTAACATCTACCACACAACAGAATTAACAGATTGTAGGGTATAGCTGTAGAATTAGTTAAGGCAGTCATGCAGATTTGGATTATTTATTTAACTGAAGTAACTATTTTTGTTTACAGTCTAAAGTTACTTAGAGAGGGATATCTTCCACTTCTTTCAGCCCCTGACATAGCAGGGACTCCATCACTATAGAGCTTTTAGGGGCTATTTTGCTGGAGATCATAAGCAATACTTCCTTCATTCCCCTTCCTAAAAGGACCCTGCCTTAACTATATGCCATTTCTGAACCTAAGTGCAGCTGTCAGGGCAAAATGCACGGTAGAATAGTTTTGCAGAAACTGTGATGAGAAAACATGAAACTAATTCTTGGCTTTGAATTCAAGAACGTCTACATGTCTTCCAGGTTTGCTTAAACATAACCTGTCTGGCCCTTTTCCACCTATGTTCAGTCCTCTTGCACATTCAGATAAATCTGTTATCTAGTTTTTCTGATAACCACTCCTAGAGCATGGCCTACTAGATATAGAAGTGGCCTCTGAAAACATGAGTTTGCCACTCATGGATGACAATAGGAAAACCACTCCTATGCCTCTGGTTTTGTCCTCTCAACAACACACCAAGTCATGACCATATTATGTTTATTACTATAAAAACACTTCACATTTTGTAATAAAATGTGTAAGAAATTGGCATCTTCTTTAAGTTCAAAGGAAATGGACCATTTAATGTAAAAACATGGCTGTGAATTGTAAAGGCTTGATCTTAAGTCTTGTCACCCAAGGTCCATTCCCTGCTATTGAGCAAACATTTGAGCAATCTCACACTCCATTAACAACAATCTTAGTTATGCCTAATTCCCCTCATTTTGTACATCATGCAAAAAATCTCTTTCTGAATAGTTTTACAACTGACAATTAATACTTTAATAATTACAGTTCTATGTGTGCTCTTCTCTGGCTACCAGAAATCCCAGTGGCAGATATGCTACTCAATTTTGTCTAAGTTGCTTTAAAGTAACATATTGAGGACTCTATAACACATGTAAGTTAAATTAGTATTTGCTAAATAGGTTGATTAAACAGATCACACATTGTGATAAGTAGTAAATAGCTAAATTAATATAGCATATAAAAAAAAGGCTAAAAACCTGCCTAAATCAGAGCTAGTGGTAGATTTACAAAAGTACAGATGGCTTGAATTTAAAACATAGCTATGATTTCACCCTACATTGTGAAGAAAAACTTGGGAAATGGTCTTACTAGTCAACATTTCTATAAGAAATACCAATCAACTTTCATTGCATTGCAATAGGTAGTGATGATGGTGACATTTTATGTTTTTTTTTTTTTTTTTTTTCCTGCATCTTGTTGCCCTGATATACTGAAACAGATGAATATATTATGCATATTTTGGTCATTCTACAGCATGTACTTACTGCAGTGTGGCTAGTGACCTTCATATATTGCTTGTCAAAATCTCTGTTATTGCGATCTCCATCAACTACTGAATGTAACCAGCTGTGGGGAGGTGCATGACTCATATATGACTGAATGCAGCAACACTACATAATAATATAGAGAATGTAAGGAAGAAACTGGATTTCTAGATGAAAAAGCAGGGACAACTTTAGAATTCTAGAACATAAATCCTTGAATTTGACTTTTTATATCTGTCTACTTTCGTAGATATGAAGAAGTAGATTCTACTTATCCCTGAATTATCCTGTCAGTTCTTGTAGCTCAGTATTTGCATTCTTCTACTTTATAAAATCACTTGTCCTTTTCTTAACAGTATCAGGTCAAACCGCTGCCTGCATGAAAATATTGAGCTTACTGTTCAGGGAAAACAAACTATAGACCTGATACTGTTATATGTAAAAAGTCCATATATTAAAACACAGAACATTCTCTAGTCTCTGATGCTGTTGTTCTGCAAATAGCTTTAGTATCAGGAGATAACATTCCTTCCAGGCAGAACTCTAATTTTTAAGTTAGTATGGTCTTCTTAAGACTTTGATAGTAAAAGCTAGAGTGGAATGTGTTGCTCTAAGACTTGGCATAATATAGAATGGGTTCTCTTTCTATTACCTCAATAGCATAATAACATTGAAACATCACTAGTACAATTATTTCCTATTCAAGAAAGAATATTCCTTGATGAAATAAAGTAATTGTACATTTCTCAGCAACTGTGTGATGCTCATGTAACATTCCTCTAATGAGATGAAACCAGGAAGATTAAGAAGTCATGTACTGACAAACCCAAACTATATGTGCACCTAGGAAAAGTTGCATATCAGAGATGTTATTGCACTACTCCACACACCTCTCTCCTTTTGTACCAAACATCATGATTAAGTATAAATAAACTTTTTATTTTCCCTGTGGTATCATTTTCCACATGGGCTGTGGATCCCATTTCTGAACGTTTCTTCAGAGTGTCACTGCACTCACAGATCGCCTATGGCTTCCATGGTTAAAACTGTTAGCATTATCTTTAGTCAGTTTACCATCGTTCTGTCCAGGAGTTGCTACACTGCTGGGTACATGGGGATAAAGGCCAGAGAAAGGCCCTGCTGAAGAGTCTGTAGCAGTAGATTCTTCCTCTGCCCACCTATTAAAGAAATAGTAGCCTTCTTCGGGTGTCTGTTTCCTGAGAGGGTTCACTTCAGACGTGGAAAGTCCCTGACTTTCTGTGTCCCCATGAGACACAGCTGATGCTGCTGGATGTAAAAATGGTGACACACATAAGTGACTGATGTTTTGGTCAAGGTCATCATTAGGTGCAGGTGATGCTATAGGTGCACCAGAGGTAGTTTGTTTTCTTGATCTCAGTTTCTGGATTTCAAGATCCCGTTGCCCTTTAGGAAGTTTATCTAGTTGCTGTGCTTTCAGAATCAGAGATGCTCCAAAGGTTCCTCGTAGAGCAAAAATAAAGAACCTGATGAAAGAGGAAGAGAATTAATTGTTTTGCCAGTGGGTTCCTTCCGTAATCTGCATCACATAAAACAAATCTTGTTGCTAATTCTCCATTGCTCTCCATGCATCTGGTAGACACCTTATACCTGGTAGATGAAAGTTGACTCCAGGATCTTAATGCAACATGTAACTATACACTTATTTTGACCTGTATAGGGTCAACTACATGTATATAAATACTAAGTAAATGATAGTAGAACCATGTGATTGCTGAACAATGCAAGAAAGCTACATGAAAGCTCACCAAAAGATGCAATATTTGAGGAGATGGAGATTGTATTTATACTGCTAAAACAAGCTAAAGAAGGGATCTTAATATGATAGATAACATAGAACCAGAAATTAAAAACCTCATCTTGTGCATTTGCTCAGGAAGCAGATTAAAAAAAAAAAAAAAAAAAGTGTCCTACCTGCCCTTCACAGGACAGAGAGACTATGTAACTGTATATTGTGTGCAGTGAGAGAGCACACATCCTCTTTCCACGCCATTTCAGTTTTGTCTGAAAACCAAAGTCTCTTTCAAAGCATCATTCTATTAGGATTTGACCTTTACATAGATGGCCTCAATATGCATTTTAAAACAAACATGGGAACTCTTTGAAATTGCATTAAGAAAGTTATCATCTTCACATCCTGCTGTTAAATGTATGCATAAATAACAAGATTAAAAAGCCTAACAAGTTAGATTACAGAAAGACCTTTTAAATGCAATGGATTTCTCAGGCCTATTTGCACAAGTAGGAGTGGATAAACATGTATTTGTTATGGCTATGCTGAGGCTGGTCCATCCCATAGCATGTCAGGTCTGGCAACTATGCGGTTGCTAGTTATGGTTGGGCAGCTAAGAGCACAACTACAGAGAGCCCAGGTCCGCTTGTGTACGTTTGGTGTGGATCGTATTGTCCTCTGTCTTTCTCATCAAGTTGTCCTCTGTATCTTCTGTGCAAGTTGCTGGTGGACCAGACAGGAGGACAGAGAAGGGAAGGAGATTTGTGTCTTCCATCCCATGAACTGAGTTCACTTGCTCCTGCCCTTCCCACAGACCTACTGGGTGAAAGACTCAATTACCTGTTGGGCCTCTGCAGGGCTTCCTGGCAGACCGCAGCCTGCCTTCCACAGCTGAAGAAGTATGTGTGGGTCATATATTGAAATCCTCAGTTGAGGGTCTTAGTACCTAATGCTGTGCAGTTTGTGTCCCAAAATAAAGATCAGAGGCAGTTCTGAGATGAAGATGCACAAAGGATGCACTGCAAAGTACTGCCAGACAGTGCTCCAGGAAAAGCCTGCATGCAGGCAGGGCACAGGCAAGCTCCCCCCAAGTGCCTACAGTGCCTCAGAAATGTCAGCTAGTACAGAAAGCAGAAACAAAAGGAAGAACTGAGCAGAGCAAGGATTTGAACAAAACCTCTTGGAAAGAAACCAGAATCTCAAGGCTCCAACTGGTTTCTGAAGGAGATAGGGAGCAGGCAGCGTGGTGATATGAACCAACTGAAACTTAAAATTAAGTGCATTTTAACAAAGGGTGATTTTACCATTGCTGTGATATGCTGACACAGCTAATTGTAGCAAAAATTGGGGGCTGGATATTCTGTGAACTGAGGACTCTGCAGAAAATAATCTGGGGTACCTACATGAAAGAATAGCAGCTCTCCAACTTTGAACATACCAAGATACAAATCTTTAAGCTCAGTATCCTGCTGAGGCAGCAATGATCTTAACCTTGTTAATTCCCAAGATGGAGATATGAGTTCTCTAAGCGCATGTTTGATGTAGCTCTCAGTAGAAAGCTCAGGGTCAAAAATGACACTGTGAATGAGGGCTGATAGGAAAACAAAAATCATAGGGGAGCAAAACAGACTGGAAAAGGATGCCCTGCCTAGAAGACATGAGACCTTACTGAACTATGTGTTGTTTATCCTGACCTGAAGTTACATAATGTAACATGAAATCACAAGAGCATCACAACTCAAATGGGGAAATAATAATCTGAAGAAAAATATTATCTATTCTTGAAAGGTTCCTTTTTAGACAAAGTTAAGGCTCAAATTCTAATGCCTTAAAGTGCTTACAAAATCATATACCAAAAATATGTTCCTGTTTCTTGCAATACCAGTGTGCTGCACTACTTCATGACAATTAGGATGAGAAGGAGACTATCAAGATAATCAAACCAACCTATTTCTTTTATTGCCCAGGCACAAATATGGTGCAACTCAGACAAAGCATATCTACGTAGAGAATGATTAAGGCATTAAGCACCAAAAGTAGTAAGTTTACCATATACATATATTGGAACAGAATAATTGTTTTTTTCAAACTATTTTTTTTCAACAACCTATCAAAATAATTATCCTTCTCCAAATATTATTCAGCCTCAGTTAAATCTATCTTTAACATACTTGATTTGTTGCACAGAGTAAAACTAAAATTCTGGATGCGGAAAATTATTTCATATAGAAACATGTTCTTAAATTTGGCTTAGTAATGCACTGTAATGTACTTAAGAAACAGAATAAATTTTGTAGCTCTCAGAGCACATAGGAATATTTCAAAGACTTGCTTTCTAGTCTTGATCAGCTCAACAACATTGTGTTTATGATAGTGAACAATTATGTAGCAGATTTGTATTGGTAAACTTTGAAGCACCCCAGAAAGAAAGGTTTTCCTGATGGGAAAACAAAAGCAGTAGATATATAACGACTTCTTTAGGGCTACATAACTGAATAAGTTAATGGTTCATGAACCGGAAAGTTGAACCTAGGCATCTGACTTCGACACCAGTCACATCCCTGTGCAACACATGTGCCTGACATATCACATATCTATACACATCATTTTTGTTATTTCACTCAAATGCCTACAAATCCACAAAATGGAAATGGAGAGGAACACTGTGCATCATTCAAACCTTGGCAAGAGTGCGATGACTGGGGTAATAAGACACAGTAAATAGAAGGTGGGGTCCGAAAGCTGTTTCTCCATAATCCAGTAAGGGTTGGTGGGAGGGTTGCAGACCACGCAGGTGGCATTGTAGATCAGAGAGAAGACGAGGTAAAACACCACACTGCCAATCATTGTTACCAAATGGAACAGGGTCTGTAAGCAGAAGTGCATGAAATGACAGTGATGCTTGTGAGACCCTGACTCTGGGTATAAGACACGACTATGCAAAGACAGATTGGAAAGAACACATCCAATAGTCCATGCTACTGACAAGTGCAGTAGGAGAAATACCTGGAAATTAACTTACAAAATAACAGTGACAGTCAATACAGTTCTTTAAGAAACGTGTTCTCATATACTGAAGTATATAAAAATTGTGTTCTGTCCTCTACATAGTCACAGTAGAAACAAATTCTGTCACTGTGTGCTCAAAGGTATTATCCCAAGGCTAATAATCAAACGTGGCACATTGTGAAATCTCAGTGCATCTGTTACTTCATGTGACCCAGAATTCAGGTAAATGACTCCGACAGACAATGCCATGTCTACACAGTACACTGTGTTCACAAAAGAAGAATAGTCATGTGAACAGGACAGGTCAAACACATACCCATGTTTTCATTTCTAGAGCCTGGTGAAAGAGAATGGTCAGGAGGGAGATGGTATTGATGGGGTTTCCAAAGGAAAACACATCTATGTCAGAGTCCTTGTACGTCTAGGAAACAGGCAGATAGAGTGTGAATGAACTCTGATTGTTCAGAATTGAATTTTTCTATTTTTTAAGGAGGATAGGAAAATGAGAATATTAATGACCTAGGTACTTACCAAATAGGGGACAAAGAAGCAGATGAGGCTCTGATAGAAGGCATCCAACATTGTGACAATAAAAGTTGACAGTTTGTATATCTGCAGGAGTTTATAGATAACAGTCATTATGATGGGACACAGATCTCTAGTCTGTTCTGCAGACATAATTGCTGTCTGTTTTTCTTCCATTTAGACTACTGATTATAGCTAACTGGTCTCCCTTCACGAGTAAATGCCTCCTGAGCAGCCGATTTAGACCAAAGGCCTATCTGAACAGGCAATTTCTATGTATTAACTGAAGACAGACCTTAGAAAAATAAGCCAGTCAACTAAGGGTCTTAAAAGCTGAATGTCATCAATTCCCCATCCCGCCCCAAAGGATGCCATTCCTCATATTTTTTTTTTCATACAAAGCTCTTCCTAGACCTACAGAACTGGTCAAAAATCCTTTCTGATAAGGTTCTCTCAATTGAAACATCTATTTTGTGCCATTTTACTTTGACGACTTGTCATATTTAAACTTATCTAGTGGCCTGTGGGGCCACAGCTCCTGTGGAGCAGGATGCATTACTGGAGTGACAAAAAGCTGGGCTCCTCTATGGTTTCAAAGCAAACAAAATGACAAAGCAACAACAATGATCTCTTCAAAACAGTGAAGAACATATATTTCACATATATGTGAGGTCTTACAAGAAAAGGGATGGAAAGTCCTACAGAAAATATTCAAATTCTGCACTCCCTTGCATAGGTTTTTCAAGACATCATTAAACATGATGTGAACCACCAGTGTTCATCAGTGCTAAGAATCACAGTCCAGGATACTGAAAGTAAGTATTAGGAGAAAAAGAAACAAAGAGAAGAATTCCTAAGTACCCTGCAATTTTTTGATTTAAAACTATGGCCACTTCAAATTTTGCTCATTAACATTTTCATAATTTCCTATTAAAAATGTTAAGGAAGTTTGGGAATAAGTGCTACTGTACTGTATGCATACACAAACCCAGGAATGTATGTCTGTATATGTGTGCTTCTTGCAAACATACTGAGATCAGACTGGTTCTCTAAACTTGACAGGTAAACTAGGGTAGAACCTATGTATTTTATGCGTATTTTCTGAGGGTTACTAATAGTGACTATTAAAAGAAGTAAATAATTGAAACAGTTAATGCCCAGAACAGCCTAGACACCAAACTGACAAAATCCTTTATGTATTAACAGGTGTATTTCTGAATCTGAGAGTAGAAAAGAAATGTCAGGTTGTTTATTGATTTAAGGGTTCGTGCTTTCTTGTCATTTTTTGCTGTAATCTTTTTAACAAGCTTTTCTTTTTCAGTAGGTTGCGACTGTTTGAAGCACCAAATCTGAGCAGAGTTTAAGCAGGGACCAGCTAAACTATTTTACCTTAATTTGTTACATTTCTCATCTTGTTTTATTTATTTCTCCCTATGCCTTCACTAAGAAATTGTCTATATATACGGTGTATACACATATATATGCACACACATATTTGCTTCATCATCTCTTCTTCAGATCAGAAACACCAAACACAGGGCTGATTCCCTAGCACATCACTTATTATAATGCAGCATGCTGGTACTAAACTGGATTGCTCCATATATTTAATGGCAGAATAAACCATAAACCTTCCCACTTACATCTTTCAACTATGACCAGGCACACAGTTTCACTTTAAGAAAGTAACTTCAATCATATGTTCCTTATCAGTTCTTCTGACAGCTACAATTATATCTTCTTCTGGTAGACATCAGTGAACTAGAGACCATAAATGGATCATTTGGTTCCAAGTCAGTCTAAACTCTACTCTTCCTTCCCTCCTCACAAAACCAAAAAACCTGTAGTCCTTTGGTTTATCAAGCAGTTATTTTAGCAATCAAGACATACCTCTGAATTTTGTCCATTCTTATACAAGTTGGGCAAACCTAGAAGTGTTTCTGAAGAAACATCTCTATCCAGGACTCCAAAGAGAAGAGGGGGCATTGAGGTGAAGAAGAGATTGAAAAAAATCATCTGCCAGTAATCTATCATTGTGCTGCCTGAGAACCCACAGAAGAACTGGTACCAGAAGAGCAGGTTGACATAGCTCTGTTGAGAAGCAAATACAAACACAACATCCTGTTACAAACTGAAGTGTGGCTCCCCACATGTGCAGAAGCACATCCTTCATGCTGATGTGATTTCATTTCTCTTTGGGTTGTGGGAGTCATGAAGCTGCACCTTTCCTGTGGCCTCTCCTTTATGTCCTCTTCCTTTCCCTACCCTATTCCCTACTATTACAGCTGACCTGAACTCTTTAGTTTGCAATGCATAGATGGTCTGTGGCTCTCATAGTTCCACCTACAAGATTTATGTAGTACATTTGTTATTAACAGCCTCCCAAGAATACATTATTTTGGTTAAAGGTACCATCAGTAGACAGCTTTGCACTTTATTCCGTAACACAGTATATTTTAAGGGTCTACTTCACACCGATCCACTGTGATACAGCTTTTTAAAAGCCATTAGGTTTCTTGAAGAAAATATCAGAGAATAATTAAGTAAACTGTTCACAGCTCTGAACACCAGATTTTAAAATCCTTTTACAGATTCGTTGTCCATGTGGAATCAAAGGCATCCTGCTCCCTAATGGTATGAGGGAGATAATAGAACAGCAGCATCACAGTCTGGAGGGCTATTTTGCATTGCAAATAAATATCCTTTGAACTCTAAAAGGATGCCCAAACAAGAAAAAAAAAAGTTTCCATTTCCACTACAAATTTTAACAGTGATAAGAAGCAATCCTTATTTAAAATTATTAAAAAAACCCAACAGATACATTGAATTCTAAGTAAATAGTCTTTCATGCTCAGAGTGCATTTCATGTCAAATGGACTTGTTTTCACAGTCTTATAGAAACTATATTACTATCAGGTTTTTCCACTTTACATTATTCTTCAATGCACAGCTCATTTGCATATACATTACGTTTTTAATAAAAATGCCAGTTATGATTGCATCATTACTTGCAAGTTGTTCCTATCAAATTAAATGCAAAAATTCAGAGGTTTCACAGGCAACCAATCCTTAGTGCAGAGTCATCTTCTATATTCTAGAAATAATAATCTGCTCTTCCATATGCAAATTTTATTTTGAGGCTCATGGGCATTATTAATAAAGTTTCTTGAACTACCATATAAAAGTTACAAAGCCTTGAGTCCCTTTTCCCACTGGAATAATGCTATTTCAAAATATATTTAGAACCTGAATTTTCCTCAATGCTTTATGCAACGCATTACTAAGAAGGAGGTAGCATACTATAAACTTCCAAAGCGAAGAAGCAGAAACTGCAGCTTCATAAAAAGTAAGAGAAACCCAAAATAAAACAAAAAAATCCCCCAGCTCTGAGAGTAACCCTTGCTAGAGTGAAAACTTCCAGAATTTTAATAATCTTACCACATTTTTGTAGAAAAAGTAAATCACCATCTTTGCCAGGCGAGCATAACACCAGTGTCCATGGACAAGAAGCAGTTTTTTGAGATGCTTAAATCGGGATATTGCAAAGTCACTAGCCATCACAGCCTTTGGTAAAAAGAACAGAAGTTAATTTACAATGTATCTTTTTCCCACACAATATGATGAAATTTGAACGTGGACAATGAAATGATTCCCTACTACTGAATATTATAGAAAAAAACCAAAACAAAACAAAACCCAAAGACCAACAAACCAACCAAAAACTCCTTGAGAAAATAGTTGAAACTTTCTATCTTTGCAGAACTCTCCATCCTAGGAGAATGAGGAAGGGAGGTGTGTGGGAAAGAATGTGGGGCAAAAGAAAGTGAACGAGAATCAACAAAACCTGGAAGTGCTATATCAGTTAGGATTCAGAAACCAGATGTTAACCTAACATTGGACAGACAACTGCTAATTTTCCAGGCTTATGAGAAAACGCGTGTTTCTCCATGCATGCTAATTGTCGGCTCAAAACACTCCTTTTTGGCTGGACCCATAATTACAAACTGCATATTAATTTACTACAGTAATGATGCCAACTTGCATCATTAAGATAACACTCGAGTATAGGGCTGCTATGAAACTTATTAAGCAGCAAGAGACATGTGACAAAAGAGGAAAGGAAATAAATGGAAGTGATACCTGCATGCCTTCTTGGCCAGATATTCCTATTCCAACATCAGCTGCTTGAATCATACTTACATCATTTGCACCATCACCTAGAATGGGAAGACAGGAAAGAACAAAAAAGGTGCAAGAAAGGGTGCTTTATACAAAATCCCTATATCAGAGCAAGAAAAAAGCCCTAGCTATGCTGATAAACAAAGGCTATTCTGTACTACCATGCATTTTAGTTAGGGTAACTAATACTCAGCATCAAGCAATTATGACCTCTAGGCTCTGATCTTGATTGATACATCCTCATTCCCAGAAGAGCTAGATCCACCAGGGCTAAGCCCAACATTGGGACCAGCTGGGTGGTGGCATGGCCATCCTGACACCATCTACACCTGCGCTGTTTCGCATGTTTCTGCTTGGTGAGCTCCATATGCTCATTGACATACTTTGCAGCACCCTACTTCACTGAATTCTCCAAATGATATGATAAATTTGGTTGTAGTTAACAATGTAACAAGCCATTTTCAGGAGTTATTCTGCTCATTTCAACTTGCAGCAATATGTTAAATATATAACCAAATTTCTATGGAAAGACCAGCCATGGTTGTTGCCTGCAATGTGGAGATGATGAATTAGGTTAGCTGGTAAAGCAAAATCAATGAAGCAGAAGGATGAAAGCTTGTATTTTGAACTCTAAGGCAAAGAAAGAAATTTAAAAATACATCAGAGTCTTCCTTCTCTGGTCCACAGAGGTGTATTTTTTAGTTTTAAGTCATAAAAATCAATTCTGCAAGGATTTTAGTGGGATCACTTACCAAAAGTGGAGCAGGAAACTCAAAGCATTTGACATTATTTGGAGGTAAAAAGCAAATGAGTCAGTGCTTAATACCACTTTGGGGATAACTCTGTTTTCACCGGTCGGGAAAATCTGACAGGAAAAGGGCTTTATGAAAAGACAGAACAGTGACTACTATTGACTGCTTTCCATGCCCAGAGAGAGGAATTCTGGAGGGAACGTGTACATACATTTGTACTGGTGTGCATGAAAGGGACTGCTGGGAGATTCTGAATTTGAAGTGCCTTCATCTTGTTTACATGGGGGTCAGATTTGCTCAGTGAAAGCTGAATAAGGACTTCCATCTGTTTTTTAATCAGGAAAGACTATATAGTACTATTTCCCCACTGTATCTGAAGCAAAAGAAATAGCTCATACAATATATTCCTTACATTTCCATAACCCATATAGAAAGAACCTGTGATCCCCTTTCTCCTGTGAGATTCAGAGCAGAGGTACCTATTGACAGGGTCATCACTTTAAGCTGCCTCCGGACGAGCTTGACCACCATGCTCTTCTGGAGAGGGGTGGAGCGGCAGCACAGCACCGAGCGGCAGTGCCTCGTCAGCGCCAGGAACTGCTGCTCCAGGCCCCCCTGGAAGATGACGTTCAGCGTCCGTCCGTCAATCACCAATCCGAACTCGGGACTGGGGGCCTCAGAGGCTGAGAAAGATGCTGGGATAATGCCAAATTTCCTCTGTGGATTTTCAACCTCGCAATTCTTCCTCACCTCTTCCAAGGTTAAATTCAAGAGAGATTCACAAGTTTCCTGTGAGAAAACAGAAGTGGTTCTAGAAATAGTTATCTCCATCTCTCTTTACAGCACAGCACCTTACAAAGTGTATGTATAATCATGCCAGTGGGCTTATGCCTATCAGATAAACATTAGGGAAAACTGACTGAGAAATGCACTGATTCATCAGATTGGAGATTATTTCACTGACGTCATCAAATCTTTCAGTGAAAACACTGTGCATCTTATCAGCTAGTTAACTGTAGTAAGGAATATTTTAAAAGAAAATAAAATAATCTTCAAATCAGAAGGACATATTTGTATTTGCAATGCTGAGATTTCAGAAATTAAAAAAAACTCCTTTTTTTCTAAAGGAAATTAAAAAAACTAGTTTTCATATGAATGATGTGAGATACTGAAACATTTTCTTCCCTCAGAAATAAACTGCTATAGAGAAACAAGACATTCAGATTTTCAAAATTATCCAGTAGCTTTGACAATTTGGTCTTTTCTAGGTCACAAATTAGGTGTGTGTCACACTTAGGGACAGAAATAAAGCTTCATAGTTCCCAGCACTGTGCCTCAAACACAAACTTAGTCTTTCCCTGTTAGCAAATCTGCCTCATTTTGGACCGAAGTTCCCTTTTAGATGCAAACAACTGGAATTGACTTAGTATCAAATGCAACCAGATTTAAGGGAAGCACTTTTACCTCTCATAAAGATCTCCTAAATTGGCACACCACTATCAGAGAAAACCCAGAATGATCTGAAAGTTATTTTGCTGCTTGTTAGTACTAAAAGTCCTCCTTCTGTGGCATGGCACTGAATACCTGAAGAGCTAATCACTCCCTTTTCTACCTTTTCTGTCAGCTTTATTGAGTGATGATTCAGTTCTAAAATGTTATTTTCACTTTATGTTGCATAAGGTACATGCGTAGGATGTTTGCAAGATTTAAATTACACTTAAGTGGGAGGTTCTGGAATCAAATGTACCTCTGACATCTAATAAGAAGCTGCATCTAGCCTGCACACTTAAAACCTCTAAAAAATATTGAAGAAGCATCATCTTTCTGTGAACAAGCTAAAAATTGTAGTGGAAATTCCTGGTTTGCCTTGTCTTGCCTTTTTAAATAACCCTCCCAAATACGTACTTGTGTTACTTCTGCCTGGAAAATATTTAATTTTCAGTGTTTAAATAAGCTGCTGAGCTCAGGTGGTAAAGAGAGTCCCTTCCCACTGAAGCCAGTTCAAGGGTTAACTATGGCAAAATTAATGGGTTAAATGCTTTGTGTGCATTATTTGCTTTCCCCTGCAGCTGTTACCAGGAAAACTTTTTCAGAACCAGTGTCCTTGGCTTAATTTTGAAAGGGAGGGAACTAAATATTATTGTGGAGCAACTCCAGTGCCCACTGAATCGCATGGATTCTCACAAGCGCCCACGTGCGCAAAGCTTGCATCTGGGCCTGGATCGAGGGCCATATAGGGTGCTATGGGTGAGTGCATGTGCCTGTGTCTCCTGGAGCCAGGGTGGTCCTGCCTGCAGCATCACTTCTCTGACAGAAACCATCTTCTAATTTCCATCCTAAACATATCAATTTTGCCTTCCGTTAAAGCAGATACGCGTATCAAATGAAATTACACATTGAAGCAAGGAATGTATTCCGTGCCAAATTCCATATCATCTTTGCGTGTTTCCCTATTTCCATGACATTAAAAGAGAGAGACATTTGCATAGGATTTCATTGTTGTTTGAAGAGCTACTAACTGCAGATAAAAGCGGTTAGAAAGTAGGCCATCTAACTGCTCTACACAATTGCCTATCACGTGAAAAACAGTCAGTATTTTAACTAGATTTAAATAATACTCACAATAGCTTTACAGAGAAAGGCAAGCTTGTATTGGTAACCCCCCTTCTGTGAGGAGGAAAACTGAGGCAACCGAGACCTGTGGCTTGCCTAGTCACAGACAGAAGCCCTGCCTTCCCTCCTCAACCTCCTGTCTACCCATGGAAAGGCTCATCTCACAGTAACTCCTGTCACTGCTGGGTGCAGGCCACAGGTGTATGCTGTGTAAAAAAAGCATTTTCCCAGCACACTGGGAAAAGGGCAGAGGCTGCTGCCTAGGGCACCTCAGGGGCATCCAGGGCTATACAGGAAGTAAGAAGTCACTAGCAAGAAAAAAAAAAGGGACATCACAGCTGGTATTTTGGGCCCTGCTTTGGGGCATTAGGAATGATCAAGGCTGACCTCTCCTTAGCAAACAAGTCTGGTTTAATGATAATACGTGAATGAACTCGCTCTCCCCTAAATCCATCTCACAAAACAGTCTGTCCCACCAGGATGACCAGAGGGATGAGATGCTATGCCGTGCACAGTGGTGGCCATTCGGCTTTCCAAAAGCAAGGCATGGTTTTCCTGGTACCCTACTGATGTTGCTTCGCAACCTGCAAAAGCCTTTGGTTGATTTTCTAAATCCTTTTACTTTCACTATCCCTAATGGCATTTACCCTCTTCAAAAGTTAGGACTCTATTTTCTCTCTTCCTTTCAGACAGTTTCAGGAATAGCCATAGATTTCACCACAGGTTGTTCACTGTATTTTAGTGAGTCACAGGAGCTGACAGATGTGCCCTTGAAGTGATTATCCTCAATTTGGAGTATGTTTGCTTGTCTACTGCCTGACCTTCTTATTGCCCATGGAAATTCAGGGAGTATCTGTACACATCAACAACTACATGTTCCCCCAGGTAATGTCAAGAAAGTGACTGGTTTTAACGGGCCCACAAGAACTAAGAAGGTGAAATGCTGCTTACACAAAAAGATATTCTATTAAATTGTTCACTAATAAGTTTCTGATTAAGCCTAATCCTATTAGGGAACATATGACTAGAAAGCTGAATTTAATTAAATCTACACCTGCATACTTTTTCCAGACTCATACAGTACTTTACAAATGTCTTCCTAAAGATATCACCTAGGGTCAAAATATTATCATAACTGAAGTCTCCATTGCAAGGTGAAAAGCCAGATATCAATATTATCAAGGAATCAGGCACTTAAAATACATATGACATTCTTTCTAAAGCTCATTATTCAGGAAATTTTCTTAAAGAATATTTTAATTTGGAAAAATCATTGTATTTTAATTGAATAAAGCTCTACATAACTGTCTTGTGTCTCAATTCATCCTGTTACATGCTGTCTAAAGGGTTTCTGGCCTAATCCTGCTATGTTGATTTTTGGTTGACTGGTTTGTGTTGTATGAAGCCTAAAGCAAAGCAGCGCCAAGCTGCAAGAAACAAAGAAGGGGAAAGATAGCAAATGCTGTCCGTGTCTTTGTACTCACCTTATTTTCAGTGTTAATGGTGAAGACAGTGTCCCTTTGGTTCAGGAGTTTACAGGAATATGCAATGTTAACTGCTGTTTCTTGTTTGTCTCCTGTCAACACCCAGATTTGTATCCCAGCTTCTCGAAGAGCTGCAATAGTGTCAGGCACTCCATCTTGCAGCCGATCTTCAATCCCTGTTGCTCCTGGGCAAACAGGAAAAGAAGCAGCGAATTAGTTTTCTTTCATTCAGAAATCATGCTGCTGTTTGTTTTTTTAAGAATAGGTCTTTGACTTCCAATCATGATCCTGAACTTATCAAAAGCTGAGCCAAGGTATTGTCCAGCAAATAAATACACAGGCACAAGTTCTGCATTTGGATTAAGAACTGAATGTGTCAGCAATCAAGTTCTGGGTCTTCATTTTACTCATTGCTAGAACAATGCACTTCATTTCTTCTTAATAATCCAAATGACAAGGTCCTGGCAGAGGAATTACACCATACGGATTTTTAAAGTACTGCAATAAGTCCCATCAAAGCAAGTAGAAAAGATGAGTTTTGACTATTTAAATGAATGCCATCCCTATTGTCAAGATAGATCCTTCACCCATCAAAGGGAGAAGAAACGGTACAGTGTTTTCTTTTTGAAAATGTGCAAACTTAGAAGCAGATGCCAATACTCATCCTGATGGTAAGTCACCATCTGACTATTACAATACTCTTCTTATGTCTTCCACTAGAGGTCAGTTTGAAGATGCTGTAACTGTGATACATTAAAGACAGATAATGATTTAAGCTAAAAGAACACTTTTTGTGAAATAAAGTATGAAAGCACACAGAGCCTTAAGAGTTGGCAAAGGTAAGAGATTCTGACAAGATCTCCATTACTTCTTATGTGGTTCTGCTTATGGCATTTACTGTTATTACTCTAATTTTTTAAATCACTGCAGAGATTACGAGAAGCCATAATGCTAATAGCTTGCAATCACAGAAATTCAGGATAATGAAGTATGGGCAGAGATTGTATTCACAGAAAGATGAGACTGAGACAACTCTGAAAATCAAAGTCCTAAAGAACAAAATGTTTGGAAACAAAATAGAAAATAAAGCACTGAAGTGCTCCATAATTTAACAGAATTGTTAAATTGTTAGTTGTTAGATACGATGGTGATGGATAATGCACGTGTCAATGAATGCAAGTTTTAATATGAAATATCCTTTTACGAAGTGCAGAAAGCAAACATGACAGTGCAACAACAGCAGGAATTCACTAGCAAAAATGCCTATGTGTTTAAGTTACTGTTTAATTACCAAAAATCCCTTGGAATCTGTGCTCAAAACTGAAGTTAATTTATAGTATTTTATAGGTTTATCTAAGGACACAGACACATGATTGAATTATGGGAACTCCATTATCTACTGTGTCAGCCGAGCCACAGTAACAGCTGATGTACATGGTCTTTGCTCCTGGCACATGATAGTTTCAGTATACTTTTTCAAAGTTACTGCTGCTCAAAATGCACGAGAACTTGTTTAGACACTGTCATTGGACTGTATACTCTAGCCTTGAGATTTCCAAACCTCAGAGGAAGACTTTTTGATATAAATTAGTATAAGCTGTTGTCTGTCTGATTGCCAAGAATATCACAGGAGAGCAAGTGATATTTCACGCAATGACGATTCTTATTTTTAGCTACCCAGCAAGGTGAGTTTGGTCTCCAGATGCTGTGCTGTCTCCATTAACAGCTCATCTCTGTTTTCAATTGCAGCTTCTGCCTCCCGACGAAAATTGGCCCATTTTTGAAAGTCATCTTCATTCAAGACCTGCATAATACAATTTAAACAGAGCTCATTTTAAATTTAAATAAGATAAGAATGCTAACATTCTAGATTACAGAGACTTAACTCCTATCCAGGGTGGTAAAATACTATGACATCTTTAAAATAACACAAACTTTTCCAAGAGAAGACTGCAAGAACTAGTAGTAATGGGAAAAATAGACCTGCCCTCTTGTTTGTATAAATGGCCTACAGCTGAGACTTAAAAACATGACCTAGAGAAACTCTTGATCACACAGCCCTTAGTTGGGACTCTGAACTGGAACACACAGTTTCTGAAGGTTGCTCTACATTTCTCTAGATCTTGAATATGACCTATTTGTTGCACATAGACAACTTCTGTATTAAAGTATCAAGCCAAGATGTACTAACCCAGGCTGAGGGCAAGAGTTTTGTAAGCTGAATGATAAGCAAAACAAAAAGGTTGGCTCCTCTACAGACTTTTTATTTCTTGCTTGGGATCACTGTACAGAAGGTCAGCTAGAGTTACCATAAGAGATACAGAAATTAATGTTCTGAGGCTGTCCAAAAATCCATCATCTGCTCACACTGAGGAAAAAGAGACTGCAGAGCAATCAAATAGAGGGACAAAAAGATGGGCTGTATTTATCATGTTCTCTGAAGCAGAAAGAATTATAACCATTACATTCTTCCAATGAATCTATTGATGTGTACAGAGAAAAGCTGTAAACAATATTAGGCTAATGCCTTCCTACCTTCTTAGCTATGCACAGAGTTCGTAGGCCATCACGGGCATAGTAGTCCAGATGCTTCTGTGTTTTTTCTTTTATTCTTTTCATTCTCTTCTCTGCTCTAATGTCAGCTGTGAAATACAAGGAAAAGGTTCTGTATTTTAAGCACAGATCATTTCAGACCTAATGGCCTAAGATTAAAAAAGAGTGGGCATTAGAGAAAACTGGATTTCAGTATAATAGCAATTCCTTTAAAAGCTCAAAGATGTTGGCTGTGCATAAGCTGAAAGCTTGCTAAAGATCCCTATTTCCTTTAAGATAACATTACTTGTGTTTTTTTGTTTGTTTGTTTGTTTGTTAATGTTACAGCACTCTTGCTGACAAGCTGGAATACAATGGCCAGGCCCTTATGACAGTATTATTGCAGAGTACACAATCCACATGGGTTAGCGCTGTCAGTGAATTTCAATTAGCTCATTCTATATTCTCAGCACTACTCAGGTTAAACAAATACCTCTCAGTTCTGATCTGCAAGGGTAACACTAGAGAAAGCTTTCCATTTTTTTTTTTTTTTTTTTTTTTTAAATTCTTCTACTGCCCAGATATAATATTTCATGCAGAAAAGAGTACTGCAACTTCTTGTGCTTCTTTGGAGGAGACACAACAGAAATAGCTCATTGGCTAATTACCTTTGGCAGAGTCTTCCAGCAAGTCCATTATAACAGAGTCAGCTCCTTTTGTGTAGACAACAATCTCCTTGGTTAGAGGGTGTCTCACCACTACAGACATCCTTTTCCTTACTGAGTCAAATCCCAGAGTGTAGAGAATATCAAAAGTCAGGAATGTGCCTTGTGGCAACCGTACGGTCACCTGTTCAGGAGTTCGGGACACTAAAGTAAAACTATATGCCTGGGCAGCATAGACAAGCGCTGCCTCATCTGGACTCTCAGCCTCATAACAGAAGTCTGTTGGCAAAGAACTGTTAGTCACAGATTTAAAAACCTCATCCAAGGAAGCACTACCAATATCTGTGCTGCCCTTGCCCTGGAGCTCATCACCTCTACCACTGGCACAGCAATCATCGTCACTGTTGCAGCAATCCAATGCAGCAAGTTGTTCCTCAGTGTTCTTTGCACTGAAGCTAGTGCCTAGGTCTGAACTAGACTGAGATGATGAAAAAGACTGACTAAGGCTTGCTGATTTTAGCCGTTGAAATATCTGATGAATCTTTTCCAGGGTGATTCCTGAAGGTTTTGGTGGTGGTGGGACCGTGACCTAGAAATATGAGAAAACCTATGATTAAAAATAAATAAATGTGAACTACAAGATACTTTTCAAAACTTCAATATATTTTGCTTTATCTAAATGATGATAATTTGCAAAATTTATTTATTTATTTATTTATTTATTTATTATTTTCCCTATTTAACTGTGTTGGGGGAATTTGGTAGAGGAGTCATGGGTGAACAAGCATCAAAATTTGATAGAGATTTATATCTCTACCTCTGAAGCAGAGATGGAATCAAGCCCCATGTAGTTCTATCAATGGCCTGGGAGTTCAGAGAAAACCTACTATGTTCAACATATTTCTTACAGTATATATAATATGAAATCTGAAAGAAAAAGTGCAGATACTGTGGTAGTCAGATCTTCATCAAACATAAAAAGCCATGTTAGGAAGGGATATACACAGGCAAGGAAACAATAGATATTACAGAAAAGGTAAAAGAACTAGAGGACAACTCCCAAAAATCAATTTTTTACCACTCAGGTTTCACTGAACACTGCTCTTGTTAACTGGAAGCATAATCGATTCTCCTTATATACTTAAAGTTAGATTACCCTTTGCCTTGGTTCGGTAGCTGTGGAGACCAGGACTGTATTGCAGATGGCGAGGGCAAGAAAAAAGTCAGTAAGGGATGTGGCAGTCTTCATATGTATAAAAGGAGAAAGATTTTCAGTCTGGAGTACAGCTTCTCTCACTCGCCTCAGCAGCCTTCTATCGGGAGTCACATCCTTTTCCTGGAAGAGAAATTACTTAATGAGTATTATTCCCATTTACCCTTGTCCTCAAGCAAGAACTATCAACTTGATAGATTCTTCTTGCCTCTTATTGAATTATGTAAGGTAAATGCCTTTGGTACTTAACATCTAGGGAAAAAAAGATACATTTCTAAAATGCACAACTAGATCATTGGAAGGAAATGTATCTTGAAATAGAAGGTGCTTCCCGAATTTTATTTTGAGATCTACTAAAAATCAAGAATAATGTATCCCCCAACTTGGGAACTGCTGACTACTGAATTAAAGGTCATTCCAGGTGAAAGTGGACTTGGGATCTCCTGTTTCAGTGTGGAAGCTGATCAATATTTCAACAGAGAATATATCATGCTAATGGCTTGGTTGCAGCAGTATCACTTTTTGTTACCTGAGTCATGTTGCTCTGCACCCAGAAAGAGGGTGCTGTTGCAAACTGCTCTTTCTCAATTTTTACAACAAATAAATAAATAAATATGTACATACTTCATTTGTTCCTGAAATGTTACTGTAATTTTACTACCACACTCTTCCTAATCAAACCTGAATTTGCAAGCCGAACTACTTAACAATGTCACTTACCTACAATTTAATTTGATGTAGGGATATGGGAATATTACTTCTAATGGAAATTTCATATTAGCAGAGTCTGGTTTGGATTTGATTCAGGGCCATATTTAACAAGAGCTTCCAAATTTAAAAGACACCTTCCTGTGAGCCAAAACTTTTGGATGCCTTCTTTAAGGAGCTGCCAAAGTGATGTAGCTGCTTTCTAGTTCATCTCAGTTATTACCCTCTCCTCCTTCAATCTGGCACAGTTTTCCTAAGTTTCCTAAATAGGCAACAGAAGTCAACCAACCACTTTCATGGTTGTGTTGTGCTGAGCTGAATATGTTGCACTGTAACTCCTGCTTGCTAAAGTGAATAGCAGTTCTTAAATCATCCTAATAATTGCAAACAAATCTACTGCTCATTTTACAGAAAAGAGCTCAACTGAAGTCCAAAGATGGAAGAAGGTTTTACACTTTCTCTGCTGCAGGAGACTCTGGTTCCTCTGGGTCTATATTTTTATGCTTTTTTTGTTTCACATATGGAGAAAAATTTTAAGTATAGATGCAGACCTTTCTCTAGCAAACCGATACATACTGAGGATAAGTGATTTTTTTAGTTATTTTCTCAGGTCTCTTAAAAGGAATCAGAGGCCGAAAAGTTAAAGCTGTCATTCTTTAGAGACCCTTTCACAATATTGCACTGCAGTGGACAGTTGCTGTGGGTAACTGTTGCCAATACTGTGCTTTGTACCTAGAGCAACCCCAAATGGCTTAACTGGACAATTCCAATGAAGAACACATATGTGCAGACACAACTGTCAAAACAGTTATGTTGGTAATTATATTAAGTTCAAAACATGAAAGATTAGAAACTCACTGTTTTCCCAGCTATTCATATAATTTCCTTATTCATTGCCACAGTTAGAATGAACCTCATGAACCACAAATTATTACACATGAATCTCAGCCTCTCCTATCCATCATCATCCCACGCAATTTCTTTTGCATCTATATACTCAATATCTGCCTCTAGTTCATGCCCAGAGTGACAATGCAGTAGTGGATATTCCAATTAATCAGAAACTTTCTGAACTCAAAATTTTTCTCAGGAAAAACAGAAAATTGTCAAGTCAATTGTGACCTCAGAAACAGGTTTTAAAAAACAAAATAATACAAAAATCTGTATCAGAAAAGTTTTTCTCATTTTATTTTTCACATTCAGTGAAAACAGGGCTCACCTGAATTTCCAGCCTTATGGAACTTCAGGAGATAAAAAAATGTCAGACAAACAAGTCTGTTTATTGACCAGCCTGAGCATATATAAAAACAAACAAACAAAAAGAAAATGAAATGATGATCAGCTAAATTTACCACCTTTTCAATGTTAGCAATTTTGTTGGTGAAAACGCTGATGTTATAAAATGGCTAGTGCCATTCAATTTTTAAGATTTTCTCATTAATTTGATAGCATTTCTTATACTTGATACACCAAAACCTGATGACAGTAGGACAACTGAAATCTTAATAAAATTCTTCTAATAGCAAGGCACCATTTATTGGAATTATTAAATCTAGAAGGAAATGTGCTGTCATGATCTTAATTCATAAGAACACCTGAAGGTAGACTGAGTAAATGTTAATTCTCTATCGAGTTACAAATTTGCTTATCAATTGATATTTTTCCTACTTTTTCAAAGTTCCCTTAAGTCATTCTGTCAATCATAGCTCAGTTGTTTTATAATAATTATTTTATTTTTCCCTCTGAGAAGTTGCATCAGCCACAAGGAAGCAAATTAATAAAGAATACTGGCATTGTCTCCTTATGAGGTACCCAAAGAAATCAGTAAGTTATCCAATGCCATCTTCTAGGTTCTAAAATGAGATGGTGTCTTCTAGTTGGGCTGAAGGCTGTCTCTCCAAAGGGCTAGACAGGCAGGATGAAAATCAGTTTCTGTTTCAGAAGGTGTGATAGAACAGGTAACTCTGTTATTTTTTCAGCTGCATTAGATACTTTAGATACAGACATGTCCATGAGCAGTGGATATTTTCTACCTGGACTTCAGGCCTTTGACACTGTCCCCTGTGAGACCCTCACAGACAAGCTATTGTTGTATGGGCTGGGTAAACAGGCAGTGAAGAGGACTGAAAATGGACTGAATGGCTAGGCCCTGAGGGTGGTGATCAGCAGTGCAAAGTCTAGTTGGAGGCCAGTGACAAGCAGTGTACACCAGGGATCAATAGTGGGTCCAGTCCTGTTTAACATGGGAGGAGTGGCTGATACACCAGGGGGTCATGCTGCCATCCAGAAGGACCTCAACAGGCTGGAGAAATGGGCTGACAGGAACATTCTGAAGCCCAGCAAGAAGTACAAAGTCCTGAACCCAGGAAGGAACAACCTTAGACACCAATAGGCTGGGGGCCATCCAGATCAAAAGCAGTTTTCAAAAGCAGAAAAGGCCCCGGGGGTGCTGATGGGTACCAAGTTGAACATGAGCCAGCAGTGTGCCCTTGCAGCAAAGAGGGCTAATGGTATCCTGGTCTTCATTAGACAAAGTGTTACTAGCACGTCAAGGGAAGTGATCTTACAGCCCTATTCAGCACTGGTGACACCACACCTGGAGTACTGCATCCAGTTCTGGGCTCCTCAGTACAAGAAGGACATGAACATATTGGAGAGAGTCCAATGAAGGGCCACAAATATGATTAAGGTACTGGGGAGTCTCTTGTATGAGGAAGGCTTGAGAGAGCCACAACTGTTTAGTTCAGAGAAGAAAAGACAGGGAGAATCTTATTAATGTATATAAATACTTGAAGGAAGGTGCAAAAAGGACAGAGACAGGCTTTTTCAGTGATGCCCAGTGAAAGGACAAGAGACAATGGGCATCAGCTGAAACGCAGGAGGTTCCATCTGAACATCAGGAAACACTTTTTTACTGTGAGGGTGACAGAGCACTGGCACAGTTTGGCCAGAGAGGCTGTGAGGCCTCCATTCTTGGAGATGCTAAAAAGTCATTTGGACACAGTCCTGGGCAACTGGCTGTAGGTGAGCAGGGGGGTTGGACCAAAAGAATTCCAGAGGTTCCTTCCCCACCTCAACCTTCTGTGATTCTGTGATGTCTGCCTCCCTCCAGATTTCTCAGAAATGTTTATGAAATAAATAAATCACTCACTATGTTTCTGTCTCTCAGTTACCCTAGGAGATTTCTGGAGTAAAGACTACGCTGTTCTTCTTTCCTTTCCATTCCACATAAAACGTAAGGCATACACAGACATTGCACATTTTTATGGTATCAATATAAACACTATAGACTTGGCAGCAATTCTCAGCTGAAAGTTTTTGAAATAGCTTGAATTAGTGTTCAAACAGATCTGCTCAGCTCAGTCTCTAATTTTCCAAGTGTAACTGTTAATAGGTAGATCTCTGTCTCTTTACATTTAGTAAGGGTAGCAGGAGATATTATTGCTGACAATAAGCTAGGAATTTGCTTTTCAGTTATCTAAGACCTGGTTAAGCTCCTTCCCACTGAATAGAGTTTGCCACTGCATTTTTGGAAGTTTTAACTGGACATAGGATTCATAATTTCTAATGAACTGCATAAATTTTATGTTAGGAGGTTCCATAAACTGCCATGGACCATGAAAACTATGGCCAAAAATACTGACAGGAGCAAAACCAGAGGCTAAACCCTAGGAGTTAGGCCCTGCATTATTTCTGTGTTACTTTTACTGTAAAAAAGACAAGCAATGTTATTTAGTTATTCTTATAGGATCTGCAGGATCCAGTTTAATTAATTTTATCAAATGCCATGAAAAACACATCATCCTCATCTCTATCTCAGAGACACACTGAAATGAACATGTTAATTGAGAAGAGCTTCTCAGATTTCAGCAAAACATCAAAACTTGTCAAGCATTGAATGCTCTCACAAAAAGTCAGGCTGAAATACATTCTGTAGCTGCAGACCTTCCTAACTGCAGAACAGCTCAGAATTCTGAGACAAAGTTCAAACATCCTGACTTGCAGGCGCAATCAGTTACCACTGTACAAACGCACCTAACATACCATATGCAACCTGCTTATCTCCAATTCATGTAAGGCTGATTGAGAGTAAGTAAATTTTGTGATCACCGCATAGATAATTTTTCTTTAAAAACTGTTCACATATAAATTTGACATTTGTAAATGATTATCTTTTGTTTGGCACAGTTACTTTCCAGTTAAACTCTTTACATTTTGTAGGATACTATTATGTTAACACCTCTTGCTTTAAAATGCTTTTCTTGGCAACAGTTCTGACATGCAGCTGCTCACAGCAGATGCTGTGCTAACCTTTACCCCAAAACCACTGTGTCTTCTGAGCAGTGCAAAGTTCTTCAATTTTACTATTACCTGAGGTTACTAGTTTTTATGAACAATTTTCATGCAGCTGGCACATCAACCCTTGTAAACCTGACATTTATTAAGAAAAAAGCCAAAAATAACAAACTGTACAATGCCAACTACTGGCCTTTGGACTTTACATTGTTTATTATGTTAAACAGAATATTGTTTTTTTTTTTGTTTTTTTTTTTTTTTTAATCTTGCATTTTGTTGATCTGAAGAAGACAAGTTTCACAATTTCAGAGTGAGGATCATGTTTGACAATCGCTGACTAATGCTGAATACTTCAATGCTTTTATTTTAGCAGAGCCATTAATTTAGAAGGGCTCTGCAAGCCTTAATTTAATCAAGTTAAATAGCAGTCTTTGTGTCTTCACTCATACATTGTTCAAAGATGGGTATTTCTTGAGAAATGTTGACTACTGAGATACATTCAGGCCTATGGTACTATCTGTATAACTGGAGTACTCAAGATGCTCCAGATTTGTAGCAAAGTACAAATGCATCAGACAAGGTGATATAAGTTCCAAAGGTCAGGAACCATAGAGACAGAAAATTTTATTTTCCCAATTTTTTTAATAGGGAATTGGCTTGGCTGATAAAGAAAAATACTACTATGCATCATTTAAAGGATATCTACATACAGGACAGCTTTGAGCAATATTTAAGTGTCTCCACTTTTACTACATCTTCATATTTGTCATAGAGGTTGGAACTCTAATTTTGAAAGTGTTTGACCTTCTCCTAGAGTCCATAAAGCCTTGTCTGAAATGTCTGTTGAAAAACTTCCAGGAAGAAAAGAACAGTCTGACCTTAATTAGGTTGTATTAGATTTTGGGAAGTTTCAGATCTAAAATTCAGCAGAGTCTAAGATTTTCCTAGAATTGCAATGAAGACAACATGTACTTCCAGGTCAGTACTCCAGGTGAGGCAGAGGCCACTTAGCTAACAAAGGAGGACAAGGCTCTTTAGCGTCTTGCAGAGTTCAATATATGGCAGGGTTTAAGTCCTTATTCTGATAAGCCCTTTTAGCTTAATTTAAATTAACTTTGTGAGAAGTGCTGATTTTTTTTTTTTTTTCCTTGAAAAATGCAGTATTTATCTTTTAACACACTAGCAAAGTCCCAGAACTGCTCTGGAGAATGCAGCTTGGGCATTTTGCATGGACAGCGTAGGGGTGACTAAACTTTGTTTAATAGAGACAATATGTTGCAGTGCTAGTAGTAGAAGTAGTTTGGGGCTTTCTGAGCTATGTTCAAACTCAGACTTCAAACCCATACCCTCTTCCCAGCCATCATCTCCCAGCAGGACCTGTGCCTCCTGCTTCTGCAAAGTTATGTCCCTAGCTCCTCTTGCACAGTCTTAGCCCAGAATCCCCATCTCATTTTCCCTGGCATTTTAGTTTACCAGAACAGTACAAAAAGTGAATTTATCTTTGTGCTAAGTACCTCATGCTGTTACAACCCACAGCCTCAGTCCTTGGACCCCAAATTCATGTCTCTTCATCCTCCTGTCAAGCAACCATCACAAAACCTCACCTGTGTGCCCCCACTCTCCTGCTGCAGTCTTTGATACAAGGACCCAGTTTCCCAAACCCTCGCCTAGCTCCCCCCTGACTGTAGCCTGCACACTCCAAGGGATGAGCCCAGTGTCTCCCCATTCCCTCTCTTAGCTCCAGCATGTCTTAGATTTCTCGTGTCCACCTGTTGACTTCCCATCACAAACACAACAGAAAGGAGAGCTTAAAGTGTGTTAGTTCAGTCTGTTCATACTCACAATGGTACTGCTGAATGCCACTTGAGACTGGTTGCTGTCACGACGACCGAGTGACCTGTTCCTTGTATGTCCCTGAAAATGAGCCCTTGCACTCTGGCACCTCCCTAAAGGTCTCATGGTCCTCTGCTTATAAGTGGCTTGTCTCTCAATATTCATGGGAGGAAGAGTGAAGTGTTGAAATTTTGCAAAGTCCTCATCTTCTAAATCCAACTCTCTGTGGGTTTCCAGGCGTCTGGCTGTAAAAAGAGAAAATGAAACCTTACCTCTTATTCTGTGTTTGGGTTTTTTTGCATTGCTCAGCAGGAATTCCTTGGTTGGTTAAAAAAACCAAAACAAACTAAACCAAAGCCAAAACATCTTAAAAGCCAGCACCAGAAAAACTTCACTATTGACTTCAGTTTCTGACAGCTTCCACTTGCCAATGTTTATTATTGCAAGAAAATAAAAATGCATTTTCGAAGCTATCAGTCACTTTTATGGACTCCTGCTAATGCTTGGTCTCTTTAGCTGCATTTTGCAGTTGACTGGAACAGGAGAGTGAAGTATGGTAATTCACATATTTGCTAATATTTTCAGTCAAAGAGCACAAACATCTTTTTGGCAGCTGCTTGCCAGCTTAATAAAATCCTTTGCACTATGCAGAGAGAGAAAGTAGCAATCAAAAATGGTCCTGAGTCAAACCCCCAGATTCAAGGCACTGAATGTCAAGTGAGTTCAGATATGGACTGCAGATAGGATTGACTCAAGAAAATATGTAGCTGTACCTTTCATATCACACAGAAGACTATGGTAATTACTTTTGGACCCACTGAGTTTAATTACTAACTATTCTCAGTTTGTGAGCTTATAAAAGGTTGGCTGGCATTCATTTAGAAATGAAAGAGAAAATGTTCTCTTTTCATTCTTGAGTGGGTACTGAATGCAGGGCAAAGACTGAGATGCCTGCAGAGGGAGCCAGAAAACCTTTCCCATCTGACTTCACACCTCACTTTTCTGAATATCCGTAGCAGGAGTCCCTCACAAAAAGGAGACAAATCCACAAAGCTCTCCATTCAGTCAGAGGGCTCAGTGGGTTTAAATATTAATATTTAAATTAATAACGTTTAGTTGCTCAGACAGGAAGTCAAGTATAAAAAAGTGTCTCTCACCATTTTCCTGGTGTGAAAACTCAATTCCATTGATACTACAGCGTCGGAATACCATTTTGTTTTCTGTTAGTGTCCCAGTTTTGTCTGAGAAGATATACTGGATTTGTCCAAGATCTTCAGTAATATTTAGGGCACGGCACTGTATGGGAAAATCTGCTTCTTCATCATACAGGTCAATGTCATTGTGAATTAAGAAGACTTGGCCCAACTTGACTAACTCAATGGACACATAAAGAGAAATGGGGATTAAAACCTGCAAGAGAGTTTAAATTCTCAGTGAAGAGTGAGATAAGTCTTATTGCTTTCTGTCAGCAATGTCCTGGCACAGGTATACAAACAATTTTCAGAGAAACAGTTCTTCCTACAGACATACTTTGGGACTGAATAATAATAGTTCAAGGGAGAAAAAAAGTCCTGTACACAACAGCAATGGATAAACAGGGACAGTAAGTGACAGATTTACACAAAAGACCTCGAATACCAAACACAAAGATGGGACTTTCAGAGGATGCTGATACAAAGCACATTTTCTGGACTGAGGATCATGCTTGCCCTTACCCTCTTGAAACTCTGAAAGGATGCACTAGCACAGACTAACTCTTAATGTAAAAAAGTTTCACAAGCAATTACTTTGCACACAAAACTTCCCACCCACTAGCTTCCCTGCCCTGAAATAATAATGAATTCTTAAGATACACAAATATTCTGTTTCAGTAATGAAGAATAATTCCCCAAGGAATCTCTGAGCCACTCTGAAACTTATCTTCACATTTGATTCATATTAAAGAAATTCTGTCCACTTAAATCTCAGCAGTTACATCAAGAAACGTGAAAAGTAAATGTGATTATTTCCCCCATCCCATAAAATGTTCTCTCCCAGTTAGGCTTAATCAGACTCAGATATACAAGCAACCTACTTCTAATTCAGCTTCTTTCCTAAATCAGCTGAACCATACCTAGTTATTATTCCCTACTGGCAAAAATGACAATTTTTGTTTCACTGCTTTTCTGAGATACTAAGTGGCATTCTTATTTTGGAATTCTGGACATAGGCAGAAAAAAAAAAAAAAGCTGATGTTTGGATGTAAATATCCTTTTTATTGCATACACTAGAGATTCTGGAGTTATTTAAAGATATAATACACATCCTTCCTATATATATCCTTCTGGGATTTCAACAGCAAGAAAAAAATCAGCCGTGAGAAAGAAAAAAAAAAAACCCAACATTATTTCACAGTTGGATAATTTGAAACACTCCTAGCAGTATTTTTAAATAGGATTAAGAAGGTATTGCACAGCTATTAGTTGATATTAATTGTTCATTAGTGATTATACTCAGTTTTGAATAGCTTTTTCCTTGGAGGTAACAGAGGTTTTTGTCTTTTACCTGCAACAGGATTATCATTGTTAAGAACATGTAGAAACCAGAAAGAACAGGAGACAGAAAATTGCCATTCTCATCTGGGACATCATAGGGTGGATGTTCTGAAAAGTTTCCAGTCCAAATGCCATGACCTGTAGGAATGTTATACAATATTGAAGTACACTGAGCAGTGAGGTGATTTGACAAAGCTGCTGAAATCTGCAGATATGGACGGCTATGATAATTCAAAAGAAAGAACATTTCCAAAGCAACAGGCCCCAAGCAGTGCTGTAAATCTATTGGAGAATGTAAAGTATATGCAGAGATCTGTAGTACATGCATATCATTGATATACTAGTAAGAAATGAGTGGTCATGGGTATTTTTATCCACCTCTCCATCAGGTGATCGCCAGGGCTTTTATCTCTACACAGATCTTTCTTCATTCTGTGTCTTGCTGCTGGAGGACTCCATCTCTATCACCTATCTTTAAAAATCCTCAGTGCTGAAGACTCATGTTCCTCTTTCTAACAGAAAGAAACCTTATAACCTTTATATAGACAAACTGAAATCTTTCTTATCCTTCCTGATCATTCTTGATTTAAATCTGTCTTTGTTAGAGTTGATAAAATCCCTGCAATTCAGTCTGGGCAGCTTATTTTTACATTCCCTTCAGTTAAACCATATTCCAAAACTGCTTCTTCCTCTGTGTCTTAAATACCAGTAGATATCATTGCACTACTGAAACAAAGCCTTCATTTCAGGATTTAACTACATCCCATCACAATTACTTTACCACCTTTACGTACTGCCTTTACTGAAGTAAACCGCTCAAGGATGTTACTAAATTTACAGCATCAGAACCTTCATTCAGAGCTAGGACAAATAACTCAGTTTGTCTCACTGCATCATTGCTCCAGATGCCAAAATCTGCTATTAGTCCACTTCATGTATCCAGCTCTGATAAAACTTCTACTAGCAGCAGTTAAGCAAGCAGCAACTTTGCAGCATCTGCCAACTAAAATGCTGCCAAAGAAATTAAATTTATTTCAGCAATACTTTCTGGCTGCTAGAGACTATAGTCACATCTGAGCAAGGACAACTTGCTCTACAAGCCACTTCTTACCCCAGATTTTCACTGTGTGTAAGAAAAATCCTGATAACCAATCCACCAGTGCTATTTCTTCCTAGAACCCTATGTTCAGACAAGGTTGCAAAGCAATTCGTGGTAGAACTGTGGGATATTTTGAATAGATGAAAGCTAATGGACTTGTTACTGTTTTACATGTTTCACTTAGACTGTGAACTTTATATATATATATTTATATATATATTAAAAACAAAAACAAAAACAAAAACAAAAAAAAAAAAAAAAAAACAAAAAAAACCCAAAGAAAAATACTAAAAAACTGACAAGATAAATTGTTTTATAAATGCTGATTTTGTCATCTGAGACCACTTTAAACCTTTAATTTAAGGACTTTATTACTCAAGGGCTTCCACACACCAGACAAAGACAAGTCTCTAAATCTACATGACAGCAGCCAGGGAACAATGAAATTAAAGTGTCTCTCCCTCACACAGAGCTCAGTTGTCAAACTGAAATCCCATCTCTGTGCCAAAAAAGCCCACTGCAACATGAAGCAGTAAAATTTAAAAAGCGATTAAGTCATTTCAATTGTTCATCTTTTTCTGGATGGCCCTTACTTCTAATGGTATTACACTGATGACTGGCTGGTGTGTCACATCACATGCCTCCAGGGCAGGTTCAGGAAGACTTGACAGGACGACATGATTTGACTTTGTTGCTGCAAAACTAAATCAGAGCAGTAGGACTAAGTAAGTTATCACCGAGATCCAATTGATTAAAAAGAAAAGGGGCTTTGAACACAAAGCGCTCATGGCAGTCTCTGTTATCTCTTTAGAACAGTGACCCATTCAAAAGTCAGTGGGCTTAAAATTTGCCCCTTTCCTCAGGACTATGAGATCCAATTAATCCTGACCTGCCTGGGACAGATTGCAATCAGAGCTTGAAGGCAAGCAGGTACTTACACATAGTGAAGATTAGCAACCCATTAAACTCTAGTCAGCTAACCCCAGTTACTACATTCAAGTGTGCTCACTTGCAAGAACCCTAGAAAAATGCAGTCTATTCCTACCTAAACAATTAATCCATCTCACAGCCTGCTGTACAGGGGCCTGAGACTGAAAACTGGATGAATTAGTCTATGTGCAGTTCACGGGTTGTAAATAGTGTAGCTCTGGCTAACATCACTCCTGAACATATTAGAGGAAGATGTTACTGAAATGAAGGTGAAGCTACATCATTTTACTTTTGTTGTTAGACACGAGGAACAAACATCCACTCAGGAAGTAGATCTCAGTCGGCAAGTACCAATTCCTATAATGCATTAACCCAATGGCATTTGCTTGCTTGCCTGACACATATTTTACCTCAGTGGAGATGGGTCTTATGTGAAATATTTATAGCCACGGATGAGTTTTCTTCCATTTGAATTGCTCAGATTTGCCATTTCAACTTGTTTATTGAAAAGACCAAGGAGCCTAAAGACCACAAGATCATTCAGTTCTAGATCTGATCTCATTCATGTCTATAAGATTAATTTTAACAATTTAGAAAAAAGCAATGAAACAGAAGAAGATTTTTGTCAGTGGTTCATACCTACAGCTCCAATAAGACACATCATGAATAGAAGTCCCACACATAAGAAAATATCCATATTCATCCGTCGCTCTATCTTGCTGCGCTTGTAACGAGGACCATTGTTATTTAGCATGGCCTTAGTTTCATGACCTTCAAAACATAAATGAATATCATCATGTTTATGTAATATTTTTTAGGGTTTTTTTTAAGTTTTTCTCTTACAAAATGGAAGCAGGATGCTCATGACTAATGTTAATATGACTCTAGTTTCATTCAGTAATTTTATTGCCCATTTTATTTGCCTGAATAGCAGAATACATCAGAGACTAAATTCAGAGCTTTATGAAAGACCCCCATCACATTACAGAGTTCAGCTGTCATATACATTTTACTTTCCCAAAGACAGCACATTCAGTAACTCAAATTTTTCTCAAATTTTATACAAATATTCAAAAGCCAAATCTCCTTGAGAATAAAATGAAAAAGAATGATAATACTATATTTTTGTATTTTACAAACAACTTGATTAGATGCTATACAAATTCCTGAAACTTGCATTTGAATATTTTTCAGCATCTATTTAAAAGCCACTAGACACATTTCATGTATTAACTTAAATAAAATCCAACATGTCAGATCCAGCAGGGAAAGACACTAATGTTATTTATTTTTTTGCTATGTGGTTGTAAAGTGCTAACAAAACAGTAGGACAAGAAATAAAAAAACCCCACCTGATCCTTAAAACTTACTGAGTGAGAATTGAGCTGGTATATTTGTAATGGAAAAAGAGGAGTGCTGTAAGAAGCCAAGAAGCAGAAGTTGCTTATTCTATTTTATTGATATTATCTAAACTGTGGCTCCAGAACTGGGATATCTGGATACCATAGGGTGCTGTATTATACACTATCTTTTGCATTTATTTCTACGGTCCTTTTCCCTGAAAATACAGACCCTGCAGACTTATATTTAGTTTTCATTTGTATGTGCATGATGTGTGTGAGAGGGACTGTTTTCCAGGCTGTCTTTTGGCTTTCTCTAGGGAAGTGATTTGAACCAAAGGCTGGAAGTTAGGTGCGATTCAATCACGCCGGATGGATTAATTCCAGATTTTCATCAAAGGTTATTAATTGAGGCAGAGAGCAAGAAAGAAAATGACTCTCCAGCCTTATGTTCAGGACATTCACCCAACAACTGTGACTCTTGTCTTCCTATTCCAGAGAATATGTAATTATTTACACAACCTGAAGCTATATTGGTGGGACCAGTTTATACTAGCAATGCTCATTCCTTTCCAACTCATATCTATTTACATAACCATTGGTTCCACACAGTCAAGTATTCAGGGTACAACTTGTGAAGCAGGAGGTGTATGTTCGATCCCATGCAGGCAGAACTGAGAACAAAACCCAGGTGAACTAAGTGAACTTTTGGTGAACAAATGCTCTAACCACCAAGCTACACAGAAGAGGAACACACTGCTGCCTGCGCTTCTGTTTCTCCAGCAGCTATATGAATCTGTTCCTCACTTTTCTTTTATGTCAGGCTTAGTGGAATGTTTTGTGTTGTAAACAAAACAAGACAAAACCCTCTAATCCCTTCCGGAAAACCCTCAAGGAAATGTTGATGGATTTATTTCAGAAAGAAAATGTGAAGAGATTTCTTTCCAAACATCAGATTTATAATTCCCTTCCACGTCAGCTGACCAACAGGAAAAGGACATATCTGTAATACAGCTATCACCTTGCAATAAATAGAATATCAGAAATAAGAGGAATAAACTACTTTGTCCTCCTCTAATCCTCACAGTTTCATATGCTGTGCAACACAGTACCTCACCTACCACCCCACTAGTACCTTGTCTCTCTATTTCTGGATGCTGATGGTCTTATTTAAAATTTCATTCTGGTACTTTATTATTTGAAAAGCATATAATTCTTGATGCTGTCCCTATCACAATGAGAAAACTACATTGGCTGTTGCTCTGTAATTAGGTTTTTGTGCATTAGTGCTATTGCTTTGTTTAGAACCATCTGGGTAGCCATGAAAAGTGTAGCCATATTTGGGTCAGATGAGAACCGCACAGGCTAAAAAATCACATTAAGTGATGGCTGTATTCTTCACAAAGATTTCCATTAGAAAGTAAGTTTGAGGAGTAATAGAGTTATAAAAATGGAGAATGTGCTATCTTATTATGTGACAGATCTTGATTGTTCAGAAAAGGTCACAGACCATGATTAAAATCCAGACTATAATCAGTGTCAAAGAACCCTAGAAATTAAGCTGGTACTGGATCAAGTGAGTCTAATTTTAGAAGAAAAAAAATAAACTTTTATACTGATGTTAACAATAAGATGTCAGTTGAAAACTGAATTGAAGACATAGTCACATCAAAGGCACTGTATCTTGAGAATGACTTTAAAACTCCAACCTTTGCTACTAGGAGCTTAAGCAACATTAACAGAGTTCCACGTTAGGATCTGTGTTGGTGGTTAAAGAAACATACTGGGAAATCTTGACTAAAGAGAATTAAAATAGGAATCCTAACAGGAGAAGGGATTACTCCAATTCTATTGGGAATGATCTCTACAGAGATTTTAATATAGTAGTTCCAAAAAAAATGAGTGGTGAGTTTGGCTCTGGCCCTCCTCCTCTGTCTGCCAGGTACCATCCTTACTTACGGTGTTCAGAGAGACAGGAAATGAAAGACCTACAAAGTAAAGGCTACTTTGGAAACATATGGGAACTATAGTTATTTAAAGTCCACTTCTGAAGTAGTGAAATAAAATGGTCACTTGCCAGATAAAATAATCTGGATTGTGGAAATTAATCTAAAATAAATGACTCTTGAAAAGATGGTGACTTCTATTCTCTCTTAGGTGGCTCAACCTTGAACCCCTTGCTGCTGATTAGACATAAAACAGGTGACATTTTACTGACAAGTTAAAAATAACCAACAGTAGGATTAATTGCTGTGTTTATATTGACTTTTTTTAATCTACAAATAAAGAGTGTAGCTGATACACTCTATCTGAAGCAGAAGAGGGCACAGCTGGCAAAGCCAATGATAAATCATGCACACTGATTAAAGCAACGGTAACACTCTGAAAGTAAAAGATGCTGAGAAAAAGATGATGTGACCTACTGCTGAACTTGGCACGTCTGCATTTGCTCTGGGCACTGACACTGTCTTGCTTGGTTAATGTCTCTACTGCATGAAATTCATGGGTGCATGGACACACTATGTCTATGTCAGCACAAACCTGTGCTGCTGCTGCCACCTCTTCTGCCACCTCCAGCTGCTGTTCTCACTGCCTCCTGCCTCCTGTGTGCTGGCACTGGCACAGCCTGGCTTTGTGATGATTTTTTATTTTTTTTTTTTTTTTTTTTGCGGAGTATATCTTCAGATGCATCAGTTTCTACCATGAGGAGCCACTGAGACCTCCCTTAGGGCAGCCGTGTAGATTTTATGCCAGACAGAACTAGTATTATAATCAGAGCAGCAGAACTGAGAGTTAAACTCACCCTAGCAATTTTTTACTTGTCTGTATATTTTTGCAAGATATTGCGAAGACAGGAAAATATCTGACATACACAAGGCTACTGTCACTTGCCAGAGACCCAGTGCAGGATTTTCTGGCTTTGGAGATGGATGAGTAATACCTTTACTTAAAAAAGTTATTTAATTTTCCCATGCACTGCCAGTTCTTAAAACAAAATGTCAATTTTTGGTGCAATATTAGACTACACATATTTACTCTAAGGATGTTTACAGAGAAATGCTGTTTACCTTGGTAGAAAGTACATCTTACCTGTGTATATAACAATTCCTATTGCAGCCTCAGTATTTCTTATTGTACATCCACGAAGCAAGAGGCTTTCAATGTTAAAACCAATCTGCTCATGATTTGGCTGCTCCCTAGAAGAAAGAAAATAAAATAAAGCAATGCCTTTTTCTGTTCTAATGTAGTATTAAACAAAATTTTTGTGTGCATGTCTGTTTCAAGTTGAAATCAAGGAACTCTGAAGGCCCTATTTTGCTTGTATTTCACACAGTTTCAATAGAGACTCCAGGAAGAAGTTACAGAGAAATCAAAGTATTTCTTTTAAAGACTGCTTGCATGGGGTGTGCATTGTGATGTTAATATGAAGAAAGTTTGGCTCTCACCTAGTACCTTATACGGAATGGAAGATTCCATATCTCATAAATGAAGGCAGGATACATTATGTGGTTTAATTCAGATTAAATTGTTTTAGAAAGATGAGCAGGGTTTGCCTGCTAATAGAGATTCAGATTAAAACATCTGCATCCAGTAAGAGCCTATGTCTCTCAGCCACCAAAGGGCTTCTCACCTTTGTGAACCTCAGTTTGCTTGAATATTCTCTAGTCTGAGGCTCTCTTTCTCACGCTCACACTGGATGGAAGACTTTTTACCCTGGCTGAAGATGTCCTGTCACATATCAGCAGAACAGACTGATGAAAACTTAATGGAAATTATAAGGTCAGTGCTCTGTCAGGAAGGCAATTTGTTACTTGCCTCTGAAAATGAAAGCATAAAACCACTTTGGCTTACAGTTTTTATTATATATTCTGGTAGGTTCCTCCTGAGATTTTTACCAAAGCTGAGATTTTTCACTTCAGTCACTACGCCTGGTTTTGTTATATAAATATGAGCATCAGAAAATAATGTCTAGAATATGTATCTTTTGCTACTTTCTATTTGATATTTGGCATTCCATTTACTAGTAAACTGCAGCGTCACTTAAATGGTGGGAAAGGTTAGGTGCTATCTCAGGGCTAAGTACGGTCCTATGTCTATTTGCAACTGCACATGATTACATGACATCAAACTATACAAGCGAAAAGGTTTAGGTATCAATAACCTACAGCTGGTAGAATTTAAAAAATAATGCCAGAAACCTGTTGCTCTGGGAATCTGGATTCAGCCTTCGTGAACTCATTTAATAGAAGCCTTCTTGCATCCCCCTTGAGCAGAATTTGCTGTGGTCAGGCATGTCAGATGGATGTCACTAAGTTCATTCTTATAAATTTTAGCAGAGAGAGCGTTGCTACCATTTTATAGCAAGGCAAGAGAGCTTCAATAATTTATTAAGTGTTCTTGGAGAAAAATGTAACCTGCTCCAAGTAATCTGTGTTTACAAATTAGGTCAAATAACAGCAGACAAAAGACAGAAAGTCCACTAACTGTTAGTAAGTAATTTTTCACTGGCAAATTCTTTCATTTACCCCTGAAACAGGGAATGAAAGGCAGCTAATTCCATATTCCACCAAGCAGATGAGATAATAGGCATTTCTAATAGATTTCTATTACAGACTTTCAATAGATCTGATGATTTTGAATCCAGTCCTGTGTCCTAAGTGTGTGTGTTTGTGTGTGTTTTCTTGTGACATATCACCTACATTTCTATAACCTCAATTCTCTTGTGCTATATTACAGCAGGCTAATTGGAAGGATTGCTTCAATTTAGATTATATCCAGTGGTCCTCAAAGCCAGCAACCACAGCCAGTGATCAATACAAACTTGACCTCTTCTTCCCTTTTAAGATATCACAGTAGAGAAGAAATGACATTGCTGTTAGAGGCATCATTCTTACAGGACATAAATTCTCAAAACCAGATTAAGCACAGTCAGTGATAATGGGTGAGAACCCTGTGGTTTACTCATGTCAGAGGCTCACTGCATCCTTGCAGAGACATTAGCTCCTTGTTTATCTACTAGTAAACTTTACAGAGCTGGGGCAAGTATAGATAGGGATGATGTCATGGTCACACAGTTAAATTATTTGCATAACGTGGGGCATGCATTTGGTCTCAGGCAGCAGGTATTTCTGACAATTCTCTGGTGTGGTGTGGGAATGAGCACGGGTCAACAACTGCTCTGCAAAGGGCCTTGGAAAACAGCTGCCCTGTACTGATGGGTAAGAGAATTTTAGGATATAAGCCATGCCATACAAGTTGGCCTTACAGCTAAGGAATGGGCTTAAATCTGCTGAATTTTCTAGTATAGATTTCCCTGTTATGCCTGTGTCAGAATTATTTTATGAAGAAAGAATATAAGGAACAGAGGATGTGACCTTTTCCTCACATACATAGGTTTAAAAATGAAAAAAAGAAAAAAAAAAGCATTTTTTTACACTAGTCTAACACATTGGTTCAGTAGGATTTTTCTTGCTTGCTTGCTTTTTCTAGCTGTAAGAAGAAAATCTGTTTTGTTTGGTAGATCCTGGGTACCTTTTTCCTGTGGCTGTAAATATGAAGAAACTAGAGGCATGCAACTGACTATCTCATACATTATGAAGGATTTAGATTTAAAATCTAGCCTAGCCTAACCTTCAGGTCAAAAGTAAATGATCTTATGTCTGAATTATGAAAGCCTTGTGAGAACAGTTTGTATTAAACAACCGCAAATTCAATGTCAAGCCTTGGTTCTGCCTTGCCTCGAAACACAGATTTCAGTCTACATTTTATACTGACTTCTGATTCCAGATAATAGTGACTTCCATCAATTTCTGCAAAATACGTTCTTTCCATCCAGTTCCTCCAAGAGAAGTATTAAAGTTCAGATACAAAATACATTTATGAATAAGAAATACTTACATGTACCCTTTGAATTTATTGAGATCATTGTTAGGCATTTCACAGATGATGGTGTTCTGGAAAAATTCGGGTTCAAACAAAGTATTCTGCAAGAGGAAACACACTGAGAATGAGTGTTAAATCCAGTGGGTACCTGAAATGCTGAACACTAAGGGCAGCTAAATATAGGCCACCAGGGCATTTAGGGGCTGGAGCACTTGCCCTAAAAGGAGGAGCAGGGAGTGTTTAGTTCATTGAGCCTGAAGCAAAGCTTCAGGGGGCTGAGTAAAGATCTGAGATTTTCCTCTCTTGGGTAAACAACTGGTTAAATTAAATGAAGAAAATGCTGTGTATTGGACAAGATATCACTGATGCCAATTAGTGAAAGCATCTGTCTTCATTTAAAGTGAATATAACAAATAGTTCAAATTATTTATGAAAGAAAACCAGCCTTCAACGAAAAGCAAGATCAAATGCAAATAATTTCAGGATTTATCAGGATTTTAAAATATGTTAGAAGAGTTATGTTAGTGGTCAGGATGATATAATCATAAAATAAGAGCCACACATTTGAATAAAAGTATCACATTCAAATAAGACTAAAAGCAAGAGTAATAATGAAAAAAAAAACCAAACAAAACCCCAAAATGAATAAACAAACAAATAAAACCAAAAGAGGGAAGGCACTAGAATATGTCCAAATCACTGGGAGAGACAAAACAAGACAGAGCTTTTCAGGATAAGTGCTCACTCAAAAAGAGCTTGGAGCTGAACTGAGACACATAATTTCGTTTGATTTCCCCTGTGTTCAAGAAAACGGGCTTGGGTTTTGGACTGCATGAAGCAGTCTGGAAAGCAGACAGCATGAGAGGTACTTGACTGCCGTAAGTGGTGTTTCTTTCTTAACTGAAAAAATACATAAAACTTTTATTTTAGATTAAGAAAAGGTAATAAAAATGGGATGTGAGCTATGTGAAAGAAAATCGTTATTGCTGTGCTATAAAATATTTAAAAGAACAGAAACTCACTTTAATCCAAACTCTTCCCATTAAGAAAGCTGGAAATCAAATCTGCTGCTGGGCCTCCCCACCTTTTTCTACAGCAAGAGAGACTCCCAGAGATTAGACTCCCTCAGAAACTGCAAATCCTGGGAATACTTCACTGGAATTCACAAAAACTTTGCCAGACTGCAAGAGGACTACCTTACACTGCCAGGCCGCAATTTTTTCTTCACTGTACTTTAATTTTTATATTATTTTCTCCCTTTTTTTTTTTTTTCTCCTGAGCAATACATATATTAATTAAAAAAAAAAAAACCAAACAAATAACAAAAAACAACTAAGTGCAAGCAAGTAGAGAATTTGATCTAAACAGAAAAAGTTGGAGGAAATCTAAAAACTTGATGGGCACTTTGTATACCTTCTGACCCATGTGACTGAGTATTTTTAGAATCTCTTTTAAGAGATATTGTTCACCTCCACTGAATCTTGTTCAACTCAGTGAACTCAACAGGAAAATTGGTATGTATACAGTTATGCTAGAAGTATTTGTACAACAGGAGAACAGGAAGATGCAAAAGGCACGTGGAGGGCTCATTACCAGTGAAGGAAACAAATAGGCTTCTAGCTAGAAAGGCATAGAGAAGGATGATTCTTAAATTCTTTTTCTTTTGATGAATCGAATTTTAAATTTGAAAATTCAAGTTAGAAAATGACATAAAGTGAAAAAAAGAATACTTCCTCTCAGTCTTTTACAGGTAGTTGAATTCAGTATGCCTAATCATATCCTGAAACAAAGAACTAACACCAGTCCATACATATTTTGTCCCTCCTTAAAGAGTCACACTGTATAGACACAGTTAAATCTGAGTAAGTTTTATGCAGCACATAAATCACAGGACTAAACAAAGCTCAAAGAACAAGGAAGAAGTTGGCACACTAAAACTGTACATATGATATTTAACGCACTTTTTTTTTTTTTTTTTAATAGCCAACATACTGTTTACATTAATACATTAAAATAACAGGGTAATATAGTTGACCGTTTAAGCTCTGAACTTCTTGAGCACTGGTTATCACCATGGTCAGAACTGCATTCCACTCTGCCAATGTAACAAGACTTCGTAAGTATAAACACTTCTGGGCATTCAGTTTATCTAAATAACTCAAAGTCTAAAGAAAATAACCATGAGTAGGCAGTCTGAACCATAATGCAGCACGCAGGGATTTTCTGACTGAAAGAAAGACTTCCTCATATTATAAACGACTGAGGCAAAATTTGCATTTTGTATTATAGTAGAGCATATGGTTTTCCTCTAAAAGCAAAAATACAAAACCTAATGTGTAAACCGTGACTATGTGACAGAAATGCAGCATTTTTATTTTTTTGATGTAAGTAGGCAGTTTACTGTTCTTTTGCTAAATCTCTACTTACTAAAAATGTTCAGTATTTCTCAGGAAAACCCCCCTCTCCCTAATCATAACTGGAAAGCACTGGAAAAGGTATACTTTATCCTATGGCATCCACAACCTGAGAAAGCCCTTAATTGTGCTGGCAAAGAGATTTCCATTTGAACAAAGATCAAGTAACACCAGAGTACAGTACCGGACCACAAGTGGCCATGGAAATGCTCTACTTTTATATAATAAATCTCATTTCTCACTGGCAGATATGTCCCACCCACCAATAACCCCAAATGATCTTCCTAAGGGCACTACTACTAATGGCTAAATAAATGGACATATTTCCCAGAATTATCTACCACATTTTTGGATGTTCTCTCTGCTGGAGTGATTCCAGTAGAGGAAAATATTCTTCTTCACATGCTACAACTCCTTAAACTTGTTCTGTGTTATTTGAAAAACTGCCCTGCTATGTTTGAAGAGATATTTTAAAATGTACCAAGTACAACTCTCTCAAAGTCATATTTTCTTGTTTACTTCAGGTTTATCAAACATGAGTCAAGAGAATACAAGTCAAATGTTTATATAAAGGAAATTATATTGCCTATAGAAAAAAAAATGGTGATTTCAAGCATTCAAACTGAATCTTTGCTAACAATCAAACTGATGTCTAACATATCACTTTTATTTAACTTTTCAAATTTGAATTTACCTTGAGTTCCTATTCAATTGCTTATTATACTCCTATAAAATATTCCATTATTTCATTACAACTTAGCATGCCTTAGAGAAGTTCCTATTTGAACTGCCATACATCTGCCTGCCTAGCAAACGAGCAATGGCATGTCAGCGCAGCAGAGAAGCAAAATCCATAAAGAAGCCCATGGCCACTTTGGAAGGGAGGACATGAGCTCTCTTCCACTTTCCATGAAGAAATAATTCACTCAGTAGTAGGGGCTTGGCTGTGGGATGTGCTCTGTGCTGTGACAACCTGGGGGGTAGGCATGGCTTATACATAGAAAAGACTTGCTGCTGTCCCAAATGTTGGTACTGAGTGCTGCTGCTTAGGCATTTGCTGGTGCAGTTTGCTGCAGACGACTATTCTCTGAGCTAATCCTTCTTTTTATACAGACATCCCTGTGCCAGAAAACCAAAAATCTTTTAGGACAAACTGCTGCTTTCTGTACAGGGCATTAGCTCCAGCAGCAAAGGCTTTCACAGCTGTATCAGCGCAACCAGCCCATCAGAACTGGGGCACTTCATGGCTGGAGCTGGTGTGTGTAAATGGGCTCAGACCAAACCTGCGCTGCATGGGCTGTATTTCCAGCAGACTTACCTGGCTGGAGAAGCCCGTCACGACATGCCGTTGTTTAAGGTTGGTCTCCCCGTCGAGGTTGGCAGTTTCCAAGTGACAGACCCCGTTCTGATCAGAGGAGTACAGCAGTAGGATATCAGCTGGGATGGTCTCATTACACTGCAGCTGCACAAAATCCCCCACTCGGACATCTTTCCAGCATTTCTCAACATAAGCACGTTCTTCCCTGTTGCATTAAAAACATGTCATAGCTAAACAGTGACATTAGGAAAGCAGTCCTCCTGGTTAGTGGGGCTTAAAAAAAGATAAATTGAGGGGTGGTGGCACATTGCTGCATTTTTTTTTTTTTTACAAGACACAGCACAACAGCTAGAAATTAATGATTTAGGCCCTTTCATAGTATCACTTCACCATATATCACATTCAAATAAATCTTTACATGGAATAAAAAGAAACTACAATAAAAGTGTTCTTTCATTTTAGCTTTAGCGCTATAATCTCCACAGCAAAGGACAGGAGGTTGTTCAGACTGAGAAAGATGTTTTAAAGTATCTTATTCAAGAAATTTAGACATTTCACCAAAAAAAAATTATTGATTTTTGGCTATGTGACTATTTCTCAGACACTTTCCAACAACAGCATGTATATCCTGAAAGAAGAAAACTGGTATCTCAGCTACACTTGCTGCAGGTCTTTCCTGTTTTTAACTCCCAAAAGGTAATTACAAGTCTTGAGCTTAGTGCGCAGAAATAACTACAAAATGTAGAGCAGTAGACAAATGGTCCCTTAATAATAAGCAAAAAAAATGCAAATAGAGCCCAAGTTTCATGGAAAAGTTAAAGTAAGACACAAAGAGCTTCTAAATTTAAAAAAAAAAAAAAAAAAAAAAAAAAGAAAAGAAAAAGAAAAAGAGTTTATGGGGTTCAAGGAAAAGAAATTACTATTTCATCAACTAACCAGTAATCAGTGATTCAGGAAATAGCAAACTTTTTCTGACATCACATTTTCAATAATTGATCCTTCAACTGCTCTTAATCATCTAAGCAAACTGAAAACTGCACAATAAGCTTTAAAATTAGTTAATGGAAAAACTGTACGGGCAACAGTGGCCCAATTCCTCTAACTCTTTGAGAGGAAATTATTTTTTCAATATGAATAATTGAATCATCTTATGCGTCACTCTGTAAGAGGGAAAATGCTCATGATACTTTACCAGACAGACAGTAAAAGGCTTCTGTAATGACTCAGAATCTCATTTTTGCTTAATTTTTTTAATCATCCTCATCTATTGCCTGAAGAATACCGTCTTTCAATGAAGTGTTTGTATCATGAGAAGGGGAGCAGTGATACAGCAGATAAAGTGTTTTGCTGCAGTTCAAAGCACACATTCAAGTGTTGCTTCAGTCAGGCCAAAGGCTGCTTCCTGCTCACCTATTTCCCTGGCCTGTGGAGGAGAGCCAGCCATGATGCTGTCAGGCAAACCCTTGCACTTTGCTGATATCCTTATCTGTAAAACATGAAATAACAGCTTCCTGCAAAGGTTATGCACACAGTTAAATTCTGTGTGTTTACCAGTGGTATCCACTTTTTATTCAAAAAAAGAACCCCAGCCCCCTCCCCCGCCCCAACTTTTTAAATCCCTTTAATACTAGATGTGAAGCGCTTAATAAGTAATGGTATTGTAGCAATAATTTTTCCTTCTTACATTAATTTCTCATTCCTAAATTTTTAATTCTTCTGTCTTCTTTTCTCTGACTCCTTATCTGCATGCCCTTTTTTCTTTTGCTCAACAACAGACATAAAAGACCACACTGAAGAACAGAGGTTTGTTCTAAGTTAATTTGATGTTGTTGGGCATTAAAAAAAAAAAGCCAGATGAATTTCTATTTGAAAAGTATTTAAGCAAGTGCATGTTGAATATTTGCCTCACAAAGTAGATACTAATATTAATATAACAAATCAACTAAGTAACTATGAATCCTTCCCATATCTAACACTTTCCAGGTAGAACTTCTTAATTTGTTTTTCTGAAACATTAAAATGAGAGTACAGAAGCAGTTTAGAGCAAACAGATGGCTTGTCTTGCTATCCTAGACATTTGGATGCTGTCTATAGTTTGCATATACTGTTTGCTAGGACTTCTGCAGGGAAATCCTACCTCTGTACGTCAACTCTTGCACAATTCTGGAGTTTATAGAACACACTTCTGATTTTTTCCACTCATAAAATGCTATAGAAGGGCCTTGCCCAGCTGGCTGTCTTCCACATCAGCCTAAAGAAACCAGGTTAGCAAAAATAATCCACAGAAATCACAGATTTGTGATATTTCTTCAACAATTCCCTGTGAAACATACATTACACATGAAGCTTCAGGTTCTGCCCATTCATTAATTGCAGAGGAGGCGGTGAGTCAAAAAAGCCAAATAACCTCTTTCAGAACAGAGGAAAAGTCTTACTTAGCACAGGGACTAGAGTTCAGGAACTGCTAGAATCCCAAACCTGCATTCAGGTGAACAGACTCTTCCTCTTTCCCAACAAGTACTGAATTTGGTAAAGAAAAACATGTTCTTTTCCTGAAAGAACTATTCAGCTGGAGCTGTAAGATTAACAATTTCCTGCAGTACAAAGGTTTTCTACAACTGTGTAGATAATTACCAGTGAATGAAAGGAAGAAAAGTACTTCACAAGGAACCTGGTACACCCCACAGCAGCACTGGCCCAGTTGCCTAACAAGATTTTTCAAATGAAGCAGTTTCCTTTTAGCAATTCCTGTAATTGGGAACACTGCCCATTTTCTGTTCAGTGATTAAAGTTCATAGCACAAGCTCCAGTTGCTAAATAAACAGAGGAGCTTCATAAATCTAAGATGGTCTGATGAGAAACACACAAAAAGGGCAAATACACTTATCCAATAAAATAAACAAGATGTGGTGATTTTCAGTAGGTGGAAAGCTTGAAATCTGATTTTGATAGCAGGTAACATCAGGACTGTGGCATGTCAAAAACATGTTCTAGGATAAAAGTTTCTCAGCACCTTCTCTCCTTCAGCAGTCAATTTATCAACAGTACATTTAAAAAGTGTTCTCTTGCTCTCCTGGGATAATGGCTAGCATGATAATGCTCATCAGAGGATAGTGCCGACACAAAGAAGCAGTTAGCCTTGAACAGTCAAAGTGAAGTCTGCCAGAATTTGTTATTGGACTCATCATGTCTGACCAGAAGGCCTGAACTAAATAGACTTTATGAAGTATTTTCGGTGAAGAAAGGATCATAAAAAAATTCTCCTGTGGTTGGAGATTGGGGGAGGACATGAATAAATTACTTTGTGTCAACAATTTCATTTCACATTCTTGGATTCAGTAAACATAGGTCTCAAACAAAAACTGGGTCAAAATGGATGGTGAATGGGAGCAAATAAAAATTATTGTTCTGCTCCCCAGAGGAGATTAAACAAAAGTAATTTTTCATGTGCACTCCATAGCATGTCTATGAGTCCTAGATTGTCTTAGAGAAAGATCTTAAGAAATCCGTATCATCTAGAAGTATCATATCAACCAAGTAGTTCAGCAAGTCTTATTTCCTTGAATTACTGTAAGCTCACTCTCAGGACCACAAACAACAGTATCAGTGATATAAATAGACAAAACCAAATGTTTGTACTTTATCATATGTAAATTCGCTAGAATGTTATATTTGAAAATGCCCCCCCTCAAGAATCACCTACTTTATAAAAAATGGTAATGTTATGAGATTCTCAGTTCTAGACAAACAGGTAGAATCACATGGCTACTTACCTTTTACCATCTATTTTTGCAGGTAGAAATCCCACACATTTTTATGCTATGAAAGATCACACCAACTTTTACATGGAAAAACCTCACAAAATGTTTTCAAACACAACTTATGGCCATGACCTCACGGTAAGGAGCTAGTGCCATAAAATTTTGAAAAACTGACAACAAAAGAGCAGATTTAGGACCTGAGGAAGGCACTAGATTGGAAAGAAACTGGTTCTGAAACCTGTCTGTAGGTCAGAATACAGCACAAGTTGGCTGATAGTATTCCTGAGCTAGAGATACTATCAGAGCACAAGAAGGTACCGTATTGTCTGTGCCAATTCATCACTGGCTTCTTCCACGTTATGATTACAGTAGCTGGGAAGGTTGTCTTCGTGATGTGGACAACAGCCCAGCAGCATCAGTGATGTCAATTAGCAATGTCCTGTAACAAACCCTCATTAGCAAGCATCTATAGTCTTTCCCCACAGCCTCAAACTCTCTGGATTTGAATACTACTTTAAGACAGCAGTGTGCATCTTTTAAAGATGACAAGACTGAAATTTTTCTAAATTCTAATAAAATACATCTTTAATTATACTGTTTTGGTATTTCAAATTCCTTAAGGCTAGCAACAGATCCTATCTTTTTATGTGCTAAAAGCGTCTATAGCATCCTAAGAAGGAAGTTATTCTCTCAATAATAAAAGAAGCCTCTATTCAACTTCTGTAATCAGTTCAGGTTTATGTGAAGTTCAAGTAAGTACCAGAACTTTATAAATGTATTATATGCCCATATACAAAGTTTTGGATTTAACTTGCCTTTTTAATCTGTCTCAATTTTATAGTAACCTGTACCTAATGAAGAAATAAAATGTAAGTAAAAAGTATTTTGAAAACACATTTGCTTACACTTTACCTGGTTCATTTTGTAAGTTATGGAGTAATGCATTTAGGAAAATCTAATTATTTATTTATTTTTTTAATACTGCCTAGAACAATATGTGATTCTGCCTGGCACCAGCTGGAATGAACAGGTAACTCCAAGGTCACTTCCTTAATGACTGCTAATCATTAGTATTAGTTTCTATGAACTCCCATTAATTTACTAAGTTTCTGCAAGCCACAGCCTAGATCAGTTTGTTGGTACAGTCATTGCCTTACATGACTGTGTAGCTCTTGAGGTCATATGGTAGAAACCTGCTTCTTTCCGGGTTTTAATAGTGTTTTCAAAATTCAGACAGTTAGGATGGAACTTAATGCCATGAGGTCATGATTCTGCAGGTCTCTGATCCAAAAACATAGGTTCTCATTTATTTGCCCTTTGTTTTCAGTCATTAGCTTCTGCTGCTGCCTGCCAACCATTGCACCTTTTCTGTGAAGTGGTTTTAAATATCTTGGCAGGTAATAGATCTTAAAGATAGCCCTAATAAAGCAGCACACAAACCAGT